TGGTGTGAAGGTACAAAAGAATAATCACAAATTTTCCAATCAATAATGTTTTAAACTACTAAAATGATATATTATTACATTATCATTTAATTATGGAATAATAATTTTGTAAATTTTTTTGTAATTATTTATACTCATAGTATATATTTCAATTTTAGGAATAATTTTGTATCAAAAATGTATTTTTGATGTCTCATCTTGGAAAATATAGGTGTTTGCCACTTTTTGCCAATTTGCTTGGCAAAAACCTGTTTTTACCGGTATTTACCATGGTTTTTTCCACCTGCGGCAAAATCTTGCCAACCTTGGCTGTAACTAAAATCGATTTTAATTTTAAAAATATAAATAAGGTAAATTTAAATTTCGAAAAGGAGTAAAAATTTAAAGTTTTCAGTGTTTCAGCATTCATTACAGTAATTAAATGACAAAAAAAATAAAGCTAATTGCGATTAAGATTCAGTTAACTAAAGCAAAAAAAAAAAATTCTAAATTCCACCAAATACTACATAAAATATGTAAATTTCTAGAATATAAATACACTAGTTTGTATTGTAATTTAATTATTAAATATACAAAATTAATAGAAAAGAAATTCATGATTTTCATAGAAAAAATCAGATTATGAACATTTTAAATAATTATATTTATTATGTTTATAAAGATAAAAACGAATTTTCTTTCTTTAACAAAAGTATTAGATTTTATTTTATTGATTTAAAGTATGTATATCCAAAAATAATAAACAAATTTAACACTATTTATTTCATATGTTAGGCAGAAATTTAATGCAATTAATTAACAGTTGTAAATAAAATAAAATTTTGATATACATTTTAAAAGCTGAATGCCATGCCTTGCATTCATTGTTGAATATTTTTTTCAATCACAGGATTTTTCTATTTAGTAGAAGTATGGTGCAAAATAAACAATACATATTAATATTCAAGATTGCACACTATATTACAACAACTATATGGATTTTTAAAGTTAAAATGCAAGTACTTGTAATAAAATGTAAAATTTTCGATCCGGTACACATAAAAATGTTTGTTCAAGGTAACAACAAGAGTACCGATAGAGAGGACTAAACACACACTTACCGAAAGCAATTGTTTTCGTTCATTCCAAGACGAAATTAAAATTCACTTTTGGGATATTTTCATGATCATATGTTTCCCCTTGACTTTAGATAATATTTAAAGTCTGAAGAGTATAAACAATTTTTTCATGTTAAACCACTACTGACCCACTTTCTATCATTTCAGACCACTCTGGTCAGTTTGTTGCCAAAGAAAACTACCAAAGTAATCGAAACATAAAAATATAAATTATCTATTTTAAAATAATTAATAATTGCATTCATCGGTAAAAATTCATTTAAAAAACGTTATAACAAAATTATTTCCATGAAGAATTCTAATTTTTTTTCCATATTTTTGATACTAATATTATTTTTTAGTTACAATTTCTTTGTTTAACTCCCAGCTGCACTAGTTCCATTACAAATAAAAACAAAAATTCGTTTTCATGTGAATTTATTATCTCTTTTGGAAAAGTCATAACGAAATTAGAATTTTTGTTTATAATTTTTTTCTCCTCCTCTTCGTTGTTTAAATAAAATAAAATTTACTCGTTGGGCATTGTTCACGTTTGTCAAAACATGCTTAAACCCAATAGCAATTTAATAGAAACAGACGCACTCATGGTAGCTGAATGAATCGCGAAACAAGAACTACTAACTCAAAAGTTTATAAACTTCCGAACGAAAAAGGAAATTCAAGAAGCAGCTATTATGTGAAAAAAACATTTTCCGTTATTTTGTATCCTTTTATATTTTTGTTTAGTTCCTTTTCATTTTTATTTTCTGAGCTATTTAAATTATTTCGTGGTTTGTGTACCTCTACTAAAGACACAAATAACACAATCAGAACAAGTATTGGTCCCTGTGAAGATGGAAATAAAAGTTTAGTACCTGATACAGATATGGACACTTCGAATCCTTTTTCTGTGCAACGGCATCATCACCGTAAAGCATTTGATTTAATATCTAAAGCCCTGAAAATTGACGAAGAAAATTATGGTAAGAACTCATAACTGCTAGTTGCTATTGTTAACAGAACTTTCTCTGATCTAGGTGTTGAAATTCTTGCAAAATAATAAAAATTGATAAGAATTTGTACTTTACTTTTAAATTTAAAATCCTTTTTTTTTTTAACTTGTTTATTTTTCAAAAATGTTAAAATAGCTTTAGATAAAGAAATCAAGTCTAACTTCGTGACAAATCCGTTGAGATAAAAATATTTTTGAAAATTAATTTTCTCATAAGGTACTCATGAAAGGTGGAGAAGACTTTTATATTGTGAACTGTAGCAGAGAATTGACAAATCTTGGTAATGTTCTGGCAGCGACTCGTAGTATAACTTGTAGCCAGGGCCGACTTATGCATGTAGCGGTTATACTGCACCATTTCGTCTATAAACTCAGGCTCAATGTCCTCGAAATAATGTTCCTTAAACTTTGTGCAAGCCTGTCTAATTTCAGCGTCGGATTTTGTCGAGAAATCTGTTAGAAACCCAAACAGATCATTTATTTCCCGCAACAGTTCTGTACACAGCATGTCTAGTACTGGCGAATATGTATCAACTTTTAATTTCTCTTTTCCTCTGAGCACAACTTCTTTTGCTGGTCCGTCATCGTGATGCCTTTTCCTTTTTCGCACACGCTGATTCTCATCACTGTATCTGAGTATCAGTTTTCTCATTTGCAGGTACCAGAACAGTAAGTGTGCATTCACAACGTAGAATTTTGTGCGTTTTTCAAGCGTGTTCTGTTAAAAAAGTTGCTCTTGCTGTATAGTAATCTGATTAGTCTGCTTTAAAATTACCGCAATAAAATTGCTTGCGATTATATTACTGCGTTATATATGAACTAACTACCATAATATTAATATCTAATTTGGAATGCGTTCAGAAATGTACTAAAATAGCGTCGATGTAATGTACAGAGCAAGACAATCGTCATTGAAATTTCGAATTAAATTTTTACTGTTTAAGAAACATTGTCAATTTTTTTCTCTGTAGCACAGGGCCCTTGAACGTGGCGGGGCCCCTAGGCAGTTGCCTACAGTGCCTAATGGATAAAACAGCCCTGCTTGTAGCTACCTCTTGGGTAAAAAATTTCTTTTGGGGGGGGGATATTTCTGTACAGTGATCTGCTACGCCAACGACAATTGCCAAAACACCAAATTTATTTTAAACTAAAAATTTACAAAAAAACACTAATGGATGTTTGCCAGAGTGTGGCTACTAGTTATATCCTTTGAGTTTGTCCCTTTCTGTGATGGTTTGTATTTCTTTTTTGGTTTCTCGTGGGCATTTGCCAAGACTGCAATTATTCTGCCACAGCTCCTGATACGGAAATTTCTCCTTTTGTTTAATTGCAAGTTTAAAATTTATTTTTGTCACCTTGGGGATTTTAGTTGGTGGAACAGCTCAAGATACGGAAATGTCCTAAGGAAATTACCAAAACTCAGCATTTAAAATAGCGATTTTGCTGTGGGTAATGTTGCAAAAAATTTTTCATATTTTTTATAATACTTATTGTCTTAAACTAAATTGTATTATCTTTTTAAAATTAACAAAGCTCTTTATAAGTGTCTGTATTTTAAAATTGTATATATTAAATAATGCAGTATATTTATTGATATTTTATAGGCCCAAAAAACCTAGCTATTGAGTTATATCGCCAAGGTATTGATGAATTAAAGAAAGGAATTGCAGTTGATTGTAGTGTAGGAAGCAGTGAGTACCTAATTCACTCTTTTGAGCTCTTTATTTTAAAATTTTTAATATTGAAAAAAAAAATTTCCAAATTTTGCATGGTGTTTATATTACATATAATGTTGCCTTATACTCATTATAAATACTAGGTGAGATCTATGATGCAGAGCTCATAACCTGCATCATAGAACTCAAGACAACTCTTCAACATTTAGCAGAAGCTTTCCACATTTTTGCTCCGTTTCTAGCCATTCTGTGAAAAGACTAAAATCTTTCTCATTTTTCAAATTCATACAATAAATTTTCTGTTCCTGTTTTATGATTACTCAAATGTGCGACAAGGGAAGTTCTATAATAATTGGATATTATGGAAGCGAAATCAATGATTTTTATAATTAATAAAAATGTGTGGATAAAACTAGGAAGCATGATCAATAAAAGCACACCGATTTATAGTGGGTGCTTCGCTAATCAAGTGCTTCATAAAGTCATTATTCAAATGTTAAATTTTTAGTACATTATAATGTCATATTAAAACGTCTAAATTTTAAAAATCATGTGAAAATTTATAGTAATAACTGCCAAAAATTGATTGACAAAACCATGTGGATATATGGTGTAATCGGTGCAAAACAAACGTTTTAAAAAGTTTGCCTTTAAATTTGTGTGTCATAATAAAATCAGCACCATGTAAAAAAAAAAATTGGAAGTTCAGGGTAATAACTACCTCAAAGAACAACTTGGCTTTCAAATCAGCATAATTCTAAATTGTCAAAAATTGATGATATGGAAATACACGCATAGTCATAACATAGTATTAAAAATTACTGAATTTTAAAAGTCTTGTAAAAAAACGCAACAATAACTGTGTAAAACGAAGGTATGGTTAAATGCGGCAGAATCGGTGTAAAGTGATGCATGATTTTAAATTGTTGCATCATAGTAACATCAAAATTAAAATAACAATTTTATAAATCGAAAAAAATTTTGATCCAATAATTGGCAGTAGACAAGACCTTGTAGAATTTAATAGAATATCTCAAATTGAGTGTGTCGAAAGATTACAAATACGGTATTTGAAATTTCCGTGTCATAATAACATCACTTATAACCGGAATAACAATGTTGAAATCGAAAGCAACAATATTGATAAATTCCATATTTACAATAGGTTAGGCATGATAAAATTTGAGTGTCATATTATTGAAAAATGAGAGGTAGAAATAAGAAAAAGAAAACATTCTTTTTAGAGCAAAAAAAATTATTTTTATTAAAATATTACAGAATGATTCGTAAATATTTCATGATTTAATATTTCAGTTCTAAATTAATTTAAATTTACTTAAGAATTTTGAACTCCATATGCAGTTCTGCAATTTTAAAAATATATGTGTTGATGAGAATGAGCACTGGTGGTATGCAAATAAATTGATCTTTCAAATTGTAGACATTAGCTTGACTGCAAACTGAATGAAAAACCCAGTTAATTTTTTTCTAGGATACAATATATAGTAAAAGTCCATTATAATGATAATTTGCAAAAGCTGATGGAATTGTTCTTATAAAAAATACACATCTTTAACGTTTATATATCAATACAAATGATTAAAAAACATATTTACATTTTTTTTACTTTTTTGTTGAACAATTATTTTGACTTAAAATACATATTTAGAGGAAATTACTTTTTTACAAATTGTAGCCTGGACAAGGAGATTAAGCAATATGGGAAAAAATAATTATTAAATAAAATGAAATGCAGTGTGTTACTTGTCACAATAGTTTGAAACTTAGTAATTTTTAACTCATTATAAGTTTTTGTATCTTTAATACAGTAGGGAATCGATTATCCGGAACAGTCGGGACCATCGCTATTCCGGATAACTGATTTTTCCGGTTTTCTGCATCGCTACAAAAAGCCGTTTTTTTTTTTTTGTAAATTTAACTAAAAAAATATAATATTTGGAAATAATCTTAAAAAGAAGAAAAAACGATGAAGTAATACACTAATGATTATTTCCAAAATGTTGGTAAGGTAAACATCTTTCAAAAAAGAAAGAAAAATCCTGAAATCTTCTGAGGAAAAAAATGGCGGGAAAATGTATTGAATTTTGTTCCGATTTCCGGATAACGGGTTCTGTACTGTATTAGCATTTTAATGGTGACTTGGAAACTTATCATGATAGTGGACTTCTGGTAACATACTGTATTTATGACACCAAACTTTAACTGTAACTTGGATAATATAAGTGATATTGTTCTGTAATAAAGAATACAGCTAACATAAATAACAATATTTAATATATCGATATAATATTTAACAATGCAAATAAAAGTTAATGAAAATATTTAGTACAAATTTTTTTGTTAACGTGAAGAGAAACTTTATTCCTATTGTCTGCCTTAATTTCATCAAATTAAGAGGGCGATTATTTTATTTTTTCAGAGTAGATGCATGATGTGCACCTTAGAAATTCATTCGATGCACATCTTGGTGTATTTCTTTTTTTAAAAATTAAATCATCACCAGATGATTGTCAGATTTTATTAAGATAATATTATTTATTTGAAAGTTAGATTTAACAAAAAGTTTATTAAATAAAAATTTAAAAATTCACTTATTTTTTTAGGTCAAACTGTAGAACGATCGAAACGATTGCATGAGAAGATGTGTACTAACCTAAGTATGGCTCAAGATCGATTATACTATTTGGGTAAATATAGCAATTCGTCAATGAATTTAATTACTTTCTAAGGTTGTTTTACTTCATTCTTCCTGCAAAAATACGTTAAAAGTGTGTCTGCTAAAGTATTAATTAATTATTGAAGCTTTGAATTATTTCAGAAAATTTAAACAGTCCAAACCTTGAAACCCTGGAGACAAATCCTTCAAGAAGACGTACATGGCAACAACCAGCTCCATTAAAATTAAATGTATGTTTCCCAGATGTTACAGGAGGAGATAAAAATCCTAGTCCAACTTCACCCATAACAAATGAAAGTGAGTAATATTTTTTAGCATTTAAGTTTTCCAATTGCAAAACTTATGTAAGTGCCATGGAGATTTTTTGCCTCTAAGTGAAAATAATTTCAGAAATTGCTTCCACTTTTTTAAAAAAAAACACAGAACAGGGTTATTTTTATTTTAAAGTGTGACGGTTGTTTTAAAGTTTTCCTTTTGGAATAGGTTAAATACTGTTAAAGGAAACAAACAAGAAATTGCTTTGTTTATTTTTCTGAAGGGCAATTCCATGGTGTTGGACGTAAAAAAGGAAATTTTTACAGAAACTCTCTCAGGAAATTTAAGTTTAGTTTAAAACTTTTATGTCAAATACAGTAGGGAACCGATTATCCGGAACGATCGGGACCATCGATACTCTGGATAACTGATTTTTCCGGATTTCTGAATCGCTACAAAAAGCCATTTTTTTATTGTTAAACCCAACTGAAAAAGAAAAAAAAATATTTGGAAATAATCTTAAAAAGAAAAAAAAAACAATGAAGAACACTAATGATTATTTCCAAAATGATGGTAGGGTAAACATCTTTCAAAAAAGAAAGAAAAATCCTAAAATCTTATGAGGAAAAAAAATTTAAAAAAAAACAATGGCGGGAAAAGGTTTCGAATTTCGTTCCGGTTTCTTGATTTTCCGGTTTTCTGATTTCCGAATAACGGATTCTGTACTGTACTTTAAGTTTTTGATAATATTTTTTTTAAAAATCAAAATCTGAAATGTTTCTGCATATTTGTGGAAGATACAGTTTACTTTAATTGTTATTTATTCCATTCTCTATTAATACTGTGAAGAAAAAAAATTTTTTTTTGAAAAAAATTTACTTACTGGAGATTTGCTTACCATGGTTAAAACTTTCAAATGATGTTGCCCTTCATTTAACAGCCTATAGCTTATTGAAAACCGATATTAATAAGTTAAAAGTTATTATTTCTAAATCTTCAATTTTTTACCTTGAAAATGGTACCATGTTTGCTGAAAAATATTAATCATAAAATTTTTAATTTCTTGTTGACCTTACCATGGAATTGCCTTGAAGCTCTAAACATTGTATTGAATTTAATCAATTTTCCATGATTGTGTTGGATTTAATTGTGTATTTTTTCCATGTCAATTCTAGGTAAAAAACAAATTCGGAAATTTATTCCTCCTTCTAAATCGTTTAGTGTGCCTCGTACGTTACCTTCTTCACCACGTCGAACTCCTACTATGTTGCCCAAAAAGAAGCCAACATCTCCCACTAATGTTCGACGACAAATTCCTGCATCAAATATGGTAATTTTTCTTATTTAATTTAAAATTAATTTTTGTTCTTACTTTGTTAAAGCAAAGCAAAATTTAAAGCTTACTATTTTGATCAAATGATATTAAAATTTTATTGCATAGCTTAGATAGTACTACTAAAATGACTAAATTCGTCTAAAAGAGGCATATTTATGTCAAAGTATACTAGAAAGCTTTTTTATTTTAAAAAAAATGTAAATGAAATTAAATTATTTTATTAAAATAGCTATATTTAATATTTTTAATTATCCTCCTTGGTAAGTGTTTAAAATTTCATTCGAATTTACAATGTAGATTTAACATTTCTTTTTTTCCTAACATTATTATGGTACAATTTATTTTGTTAAACGCCAGGGATTAGTATCCTTCAATTAACTTATTTATAAATGATATAAGTGTTAAATAGAATATTTTTATAGTTTGATCTGAACATTTGAGTTATTCCATAAGACGTAATTGGAATCTTCCTGTGTCGAATCAATCGAAAGGTTTTTTTATCTAAACATATTTAATTTTGTAGAAATATTGTGATAAACACTTGTTTTAAAGTCTCTGTAGGTTATTTTAGATTTTTGTTTAACACTTAAATGTTTTTATTTATAATAAATAAAATTTTAAATCAACAGGGAAATAAGTGTAGTTAATGGGGTAAAGAAAGAAAGAAAAAAAAACCTAAAGTATTTTTTTAAATAAATATTTATGTATTTTTGCATCATCATGAACAATTACTCTTTATGTTCTACAAATCTGCTGTGAACCATAATAAAATACTCCAAATATAAATTTTTTTATAAATAATCATTCTCAATCATAATAAATTTTTATATGAATAATTTTAATTTGTAACACCCACTAAAAGAAGTTTTACTCAGATAGCACACCAGCAATGAAAAGTGTTACAGATAAAAGAATGGCTGTTAGAGATTTTCGTTGCATTCAGAATCGATAAAATAGGTTTGGCAAATTAAATTTAAAGAGAAAAAAAAGAGCAGTATATTAAGGTTGCTACATTAAGAAATATGAGATTTTAAACATATGATGCAGATCTATGACACTGCATAAACTGGACAAATGGGTATATCTATTAAAAATGAAAATATTTGCTGAAAATAACAAATTAACATACATATAAACAGTTGTAATTTTTTTTCAAACTCTATCCCCATGCTAATAATATGGTTTATATGTGACTATAGATAAATTTATGTTTTATGATAAATTTATGCTGAATTTATGTTTTTATGTATATATTTTTCATGTGAAACAAATTGACTTATTTTGATGTAAACATATGAACTTTGAAACTTTGTTAAACAATATTTAGTTTCAAATTAATATCCAATGTTTCCTTCATTTTTATTTTTTCTTCTATTCATTCATTTTTATTTTATAGAAACGAGATAACTCTAAAAATTCTATTCCAATACAATCAAGACTACAAAAGTTGAACAAAATTTCTAGTCTTAAAGGCGTTGATCCTAAACTTGCACAGATGATAATGGATGAAATAGTTGATGGTGGACCAAGTATATCATTTGATGACATTGGTAATGTTTTAAATGCAATTTTTTAAGGAAAAAAAGATTAAAATTTGTCTAAAACTTACTAGTTTTATGAATTCTTGAGTTTGTATTTTAAATTTAACGTTCGAAATGTGCTCGAAAATGACAATTTTATTCAGTTGCCGAATAAGATAGTCAGTGTATAACTTCAAATAATTTGACTTGTTCTTTTTTACTGCCTACTTTTTGCATTAAGTATATCAGGACTTTTAAGAAAAAAATTCAGCGAGGGTGACAAAGCAAAGAAAAATTATGAAAGAATAAAAAATGCTACGCCAATATTAAAATTAAAAAAAAATTGGCAGATGCATCTTAAATGTGGCTTGATTAAAAAAAAATTTCATTTGTCTTCCTATTTTTCAATTGCACTGAATCACATTTCAATTAATTCATTGGTAATTCTGCTTGTTTAGACCCATACCGCTCTGCTATTCGCTGACAAAGTTGAAAGCATTATATATATATTATGGATAGATACATAATTTTAAACAAAACAGAAAAATTTATGACAGTGTCTAGCATTCTAATAATTCCTTATGAACTTTTGAGTAATTTTGCTTTCAAGTGTTCTTCTTGAATTTTTTAAGTTCATTTATGCTTTTAGTTATATTTAATGGAATTAAGCTTAGTTTATTTTATATTTATATTTCCATATATTTATTTCGTACTGTGACTGTGAAATTTTGGGTCTCTTGTGGGGATTGTGGGTTTGTGTCAATTAGAGTTGTGTTATCCATTCATGATGTTTTATTACAACACTTTTATTACAAATAATGCATCAAACAAATTGGGAATGTGATTGAATGGTCGACTGCTATCAATCAGATTCCATACAATCTCTTGCTTACTTATATCATACCATACCCAACTTAATCATCTCCGACCATCATTTGTCAGTATAATAGGATATTACTTACTATTATTCATACACTACATTTTTAAGTAAAGATTTTATCTGCAGAGTAAGCCTATTTTTCCCTAATTTATTTGTCGTTATAAATCAAATAAGTTATCAATATCTACTTACCCTTTTGGCTTTGTTTCACTTTCCTATCAGTCTTCATTATATGAGCTTATTTTTATTTCAGCCGGACAAAATGTAGCTAAACAAGCTTTGCATGAAATGGTTATTTTACCAACAGTTCGTCCTGAGGTAAATTTGATTTTAAAATATATTTTTATAGTTTGTGTTTCTATAATATGAACTTGTTTTAAGATAGAATGCTTTTGGAATATGTTATCAAAATGTGAACAGTGTTACAAAAATTATACTATTTTTTTTATTGATCTTTTTCTTTAATTCAATTTTCATACAAAGCTTTTAGTTCTTAAATAATTTTAAAATAAATTGTTATGCTTAATATGTTTGGTGTCTTTTTTTTTTTTTTTGGTTTATTTTTCCCCTTTCTTACTCTAGTATGAAATGTATTTCCCATTGTAACACTTCAAGGTAATTTTCATTATAATAAATTCTGTTTATATATAATTTGTTCGAAGTATTTTTCTTTTCCAAGAGAGATAAAAGTTATTCAATATTAGATATTCTCTCTGATACTTAGAGAATTCTTTCAGAAGGAATGAAAAAGAGAAGACCTCTATTATTCTTTCAATTTATGGTATTTAAAATTTTGAAAATATGCCATGAGTCATAATTATTTTTTTAATGAATAAAATGTTTTCTAGTTGATATTTTATTCTATTATAATAATATTTAGTGTTTCTTGAAATGGTATATAAAAATAACAAATGTATATTTTTTAGTTGTTTACTGGTCTTAGAACTCCACCAAAAGGTCTTTTATTATTTGGGCCTCCAGGAAATGGTAAAACAATGCTGGTAAGTCATATTTCTTTTTTATTACTCATTTTTATAGAAAAGTGAATGATATAAATTTTAATTTTTCTGCATTCTATATATATATTAGTGTTTTGGTAATCTGAGTTAATGGTGCCTCATGGTAACTTTTGTTACTAAAATCTCATGTTTATTCATTTCTGTTTATTAAAAATTATGTTTTATGTGATTTTTTAATTACGTTTTTAAACTATCGTTCAGAGATTGCATTTTCTACCTTTTAATAAATCACAATTACTCTATAAACTATATACCTCTTGCAATCAATAATTTATTTTTAATCTTCTGCAAATTCAGGTTATTTGAGACTCAAATTATTTTAAAGACTCTACTATATAGGGTATCTGCGCACTTGGAAAGTCCTGAATTTTAGTAATGAACAAAATTTGTCATGAAATGTCATGATTTTAACTATTATTTTAAAAAAATCTTGGAAAGTCGTGGATATAGGTCTCCAAAAAATCTAATTTTTAAAATGGAATTTACCTCACCATTCACAGTCATATTTTATTAAAATACAAAATTTTTTAATCATGTTTTTTAGAAATTATTTTCTTTAAAAAAAATGAAAGAAAAATAATCATTTCTGGAGCAAATTTTTTTTTAAACCACTGTGATTTCAGATTTTTTGTTTTTACCTATTATTTTATTTTTTTATCAATTTAAAATTCTAGCTGAAACAAGCCAGTCATTGGCGAATTTTTTTTTAAATTTCGAAATGAGAACAGAAAAATCAGGAGTATTTCTTTCCTTTCTGATGAACAAGAAAATGATCTTTAGAATAATTCTGCAGGAGAAAAATTTTTTTTTGCTTTTGTATTTTTTTCAGCTATTTTATTGCTTCAACTATTTCTTTACTCCTGTTTTTTAAATTTAAAATCTATAAATATGAAGATGCAGAGTCAGTGTTTTCATCTCAGAAAAAAAATGGGTGAGAATTTCTCACCCTTTCTCAAAAACAGGGTGAGATTTCAAAAAGTTAAGTGAGATTTCAAAAATTAAAAAAAAAAAAAAATCACAAAGATACTTGGAAAAATTAGTCATTTTTTTAATTATAATGCATTTTTAACATCTTCTAATTTTTAAAGCATTGAATATTTTTGCTGCATCATCATATGGAAAATGTTCTACATCTACTTTTTCATCAGCTATTCTCATTGGGTTGCTCAAATGCGTATTCGTTTTGTTTTGATCGTTTCTACCCACATTTGTTTCATTTTCATTTGTCCGTTTCGGAGTAGAAGATATTGGCTTTACAAGGTATTTGTCCATCTTACATTAACGAGCAAAAATTTGAACGTCTTACATGAAGAAACCTTACCTACGGTAAACATGTGGTTGCAGAGAAATGCGTTCTGAAAGAGGTTCCATGGTTCCGAAGGATGGTGTTCTGTTGTTCTTAAAGGTTCTGAACAATACTGGTAATCCAGGAAGAAAAGTGAAACTGATTTTATTCTAAATGGCGCAAATGAGAAATTTTTGTTTCAAAATGCGAGAAATTCGCGAATTTTGAAATTTGTTTACAGAATGCGCGAATTTCTCGCGGTAATCATTTTTTAATGCGAGAATATAAAAAAATATGCGAGATTCTCGCGTTCTCGCGCTGTAGTGAAAACACTGAGAGTATAACAGTTTTGGTTATACCTATCATTTCAATTAATGTTATTATATGCTTTTTTAAATTCACTGTTGTGCTTTTGTCGGAGAAAATAATAACTTCGTTAAGTCACGAAAAATAATTGGCATTAGGCATGGAAAGTCATAAATTTGAAAATCTAAAATGAAGCAGAAACCCTGACTATAACAAAAAAGAGATGGAAAAGAGATTGATAACAAAAAAGAGATAGAGAAATGTAAAATTTTGATGCAGATTTTTCATAATATGGAAATGTTTCTGATTAAAATTCTATGCCTATTCATCGAGTTTATATTTCCTCGTTTTGTCCCTCAATAATTTTTACATTGAAAAATCCATTTTTTTTATTTTTAATTATTTTTCATATTTATATTTAATAAATAATAGAAAATGAAATTATTATAAAGATTTTTTTTCTTTTGATAAAAGTGTTTTTGTTTGACCACTTTAATTAAAACTGGTCGACCCTAATTGCTATTATTTCATAGTATAAAGCATTCCTGCAATAACCCATTGTGGGTCAGGATGTCCTAGAGATTAAGGCTCCACAATTTTGTGACACCAGCATAATTGTGGTAATGTGGTTTGCACTGCACACAAGGTGCCTTTATTTCCCAGACAAGCTGGTACCAATTGATCAGAAGTTGGGTGGGCTTCAAGCTACCACTAAGGATATTTTCTAGTATAATAACCATAAAAAAAAATTGAAAAATTATATGCTTTTATAATGTATATTTTTTTGAAATTCATAATTGTTAACAATTTTAATTACTGTATTCTAGGCCAAAGCTGTAGCCTGTGAATCTAATTCAACATTCTTGAACATCAGTGCTGCTTCTTTGACATCAAAATACGTAAATAGTTATCCTTATATATATTTTAAATAAAATATTTTGATGGTAAAAAAAAAAAACTATATTTATAATTTTTTCACAAATATATTGTAATCTCTTTTTTTTTGTATTTTATAATTTTTTGAATATGTAGGTTGGTGAGGGTGAAAAATTAGTTCGTGCTTTGTTTGCTGTTGCTCGAGAACTTCAACCTACTATTGTGTTTATAGGTAAATTCATTTTGATTATATAAACTTCTGATTCGCACTTTATATATCTGTACTGAAGAGAAAATATGACATAACTTTATATTTAGAAATTATTTAATCTTTTTGTGTTTTAAATAATATTGGATAATAATAATATTTGAAAAATTATTTAGATGAAGTTGATTCTTTGTTGAATGAAAGAAAAGAAAATGAGCATGAAGCTAGTCGAAGGTTAAAAACTGAGTTTCTTGTGGAATTTGATGGAGTTAGTATTGTATTTATTTAGAAATTTTTTATTGTTCTTGGAATTTTTTTTTGCATGCATTTTGTCTGAGTATTATAATTTTTTTTTTAATCTGTTATATATTTATAAGAAATGATCAAACAAAGAAATATATTGGTCATCTGGGATTACATGGTTTATTATGGTAGCCTAAAAAGCTATATTTACACAAGGAACAAAAAAAGACAATACATTAAACAGAACAAAAAACAATGCATACTAGTGCATAACAAGATTGCACACAATATATGAAAAAACTTCCAATCACTTTTTTCGAGAACTATAAGAGTGTTAACTTAAGATAAAGTTAAATGAGAGTGTTAGTAAAAGGAAGAAAAGTTAAAAAAAGGTTTTTGATATGAAAAAATTTTTCTTTAAAAATTCTTTTAATTTCTATTTAAACTAGCCATTGCTTAGAATGTTTTGAAAATCAATAGGAATGTCACCAACGAATTTTAGTACTAAATAGCTGGAATTCCAGTTTAAGTTACTTTGTGAGCTGTTTATACTAGGTACATTTCATCACTTCATGGATCAGTATATTTGTGTCTTTTACAGTTTTAGTTTCCAATATAAATAAAGACATATTTTATGAGAAAGAGATGATAGAATCAGAAGGATATTAAAGATTTAGAAATAATTTTTATGGTCTCACTGTTACCCAGTATAAGTTTTATAAATTTCTTTTGAATTCATTAAGAATTTTAAAATTTGTGTATTTGTCTCTTCCCCAAAGCTTCAAACCATAATATTGATAAACGAAATTTTGTTAGTTTATATCTTGATCAGTTTGAGAGAATTATGTGCACTTGTAAGATTTTGATGGACTTTTATATTTAATTGTCATAAAAATCTATACACATTCATTTGAAAACATTATTATGCTTACAAATTTCTTTTGATACCATCTAGATAAGTGGTAGTCAATCTGATCCTTAACACCAATAAGTGAGTGTTCCAACTTGCAAAGTGGGGAGTAGAGATTTAGCAATTAAATTATTTTTCAATACATTAAAAAAGAAATATTTTAAAGTGTTTAAAAATTTTCACATTGCTATTTGAATAACCTTTTTATTGGATTTTTGTAAAATTTTCAATATTTTATAAGGAGTCTCTAATTAAAATTCAAATGAAATTCTGGTTTATGAGAAAAATGCTTAAGCAAAAAAAAGTTATATAATTCTACCTTAAAAATTTGAACAATTTAATCAATCAAAGTGTTTTTTAAATTTTAACAGATCAGGTTAGCGTTCATGAAACTTTTAAACTTTGAGTCAGTCCCTTCAATACATAAAAAAAATATTTTGAAATTTGATTGATAATTAATAACTTTAATTTATCTGTTTAACTTAATCGATAATAAGTATATGACATTGATGTTTTATAGTTTGACCCTCACATTTTGAGGATCTTGAGAAGTTAGCTCAAAGTTTTTTGTTTCTGTTAGTTCACAGTGAATAACATAGAAACCATTTTGCTTTACCGAAAAGCAAGCAAATTAAATGAGAGTAAAATATTAATTTTGTCTGGTAGCTAAACAATCTTTAAGAATAATTAGTGAATTCTTTATTTGAAACTTTTTAGATAACTAGTCTTTAACTTTGTGCATACACGTATATCCATTGGCGAACCATGCATAAAAATTTACAATGTTGTTTTTTTTTTTTTTTTTTTTTTNTTTTTTTTTTTTTTTTTGTTGTTAAAAAATATTGTGCTGTATAAATTCAAGGTAACAAAAAGCTTACCTACAAATTTAAAGTGTTTTGATGATTAAAATTTTTACATAAAATTGATCAATCATACATCTGTATAATTGATAAAACATAAGAAGTACAAATAAAATAAAATGTGCCGTAACATGAGTGTGAGTAGACAGATAAAAAAAATGAAACATTTAAAAAATAAAATGAAACTGGTTACCAGAACAAGATTTCCAAATATTTGAAAAATAAAGAATGCAGAAAGTCAATAAGTTATTAATATTTTTTAGAATAAAGAATGGTTCTCAGAAATTCCTCTTAACAGATAAGTAGTTGTGTTATTTAATTTTAGCTTATAATAGTTCAAAGCATAATTGCTTGCAAATGAAAAATAGTCAGTACTTTTATGTTGTACTTATTTTCATGTTTTTTAAGCCAAAGGTTAAAAGTGTATTTGGTACGTTCAATGTAGAAAGCTCACATTGCCAAAAATTAAGTTAAATATCCTATTTATTTATCAAACATCTTAGAAGTTTCAAAAATATAAGTGTTCCAATTCTGATTATTTCTGAGTTTATAAATGAAGTCATTTTTATAATTACTGCATTATATATCAGTTATGCACATCAAAAATTAGTTTTATATTTTAGAGATACATTATTAAAAGGAATGGGTTTTATTTCAATTTCTATATTAATAATAACATTATTAATAATGTAATATTACTAATAATATTATTGTAATATAGGGGTGCACAACCTTTTTCAGTGAAGGGCCACATGCACAGCAGATTGACCAATGAAGGGCCGCATGCCAAAGTGTTTAGACCGACATATTGAAAGCAATTGTTGGTGGTGATTGTTATATAAACATCATTGTTTATATAACACTAAATTCTTTTTGTCGGTTAACCATGTAATCTCTTTGCAGAAAATACAATACTTTAAAACGTTTAAAATTAGAAAATGCAAAACTGATTACTTAAGAAGGAAAACAGAATTCGAAAATCAGAATCAATTTATCAGAAAAAATTTAGATAAATTGAAATAATTTAAAAACTATGGAAAAATTGAAATTTTTTTTATCACATTACAAAATACAAAAGTCCATTTAAACATAGATTTTAACGTTAAATTTTTTCTTCATAGAATTAAATTTCAAATAAATAAATATTCTAGTTATTAATATAAATTCAAGTTAAATACTTTGATTTAAAGAAAGTTTATAGGGTTAAAAATGATTAAAACAAAACCCCTTAAGTGGAAAATAAGATTTAGCATTTATTAGGGAATGTACTTTAACTTTCAGACATTTTTATTTTAAATTAATAATAAGAGGCTGAGAGAGGGAAGAAAAAGAAAGAAAGAAAACACATTAAATTTTAAGGAACTATATTCCTTAATAATAAAAAACTATTAAGATACTTGTTTACAACTTTTTATGACGAATATATTTTTAACATGACACTTACTATTTACAATTAATACACAATCAATTAACAATCAATAAAATTTACATTACTTTACGAAACTTATCTTGATTAAATTTTTTATACAGTTAAAATTTAATGATATACAAATCATTTCCCAGCATATAATCATAAATGATATAAAATGCTCCAAGAAGGTAGAAAATGGTTTAAAAAATTTCTTAATGGTTATACTGTAATTTGCAAAATTTTTGAATATTGTGATAATTTTATCTACTTGATCATGTGATATTTTTTGAGCCATTAAATGAAAATGTAATGATTGTATTTAAAGACTACTCTGTAATTTTGAACAGGCCAAATTCATTCTGGAAAACAGTCTTTCGACAGAAGCTGTTGTTGTGGGTAGTATTAAACTTAGAGCAAATAACATAATCAGTTTTGGAATTTGTCCTAGATGGTGTTCTTCCTTTCTGGGTTTTTAAATCGCGGAAATACAAATAGCGATGTGTTATTTTTTAATTGCTTGAATACGAATTGCTATGTGTTATTTTTTAATTGCTTGAATACGAATTGCCATGTGTGATTTTTAAATTGCGTAAATAAAAAACTCGATGCTTGTTTTTCAAATCGCGTGAATACGAATCGTGTGGCTTTTAAATTGCGAAAGGACTACTCACAACACTTGATTTTTAAAATGCATGAATATGAATCGCGATATATGGTTTTTAAAACGCGTGCATATGAATTGCGAGAAAAGTAGCAACGGATGATATTTTAAACGCCAGAACACGAATCGCGATATGTGATTTTAAATCCCGTAAATACGAAACGCGATGGATTATTTTTAAATCTCGTTAATGTTAATACGAAATGCGATGCGCAATTTTCAGATAGCGTAAATACAAATTACGATGTATGACTTTTAAATTACATGTGACAACAAAAAGAATAGGTTCGATGTGTGTTGTTAAACTTGCACGTGTTCATGGGACTAAAGAATTATGCCGTTTTTTGAATTATTTATTTACTATTTATTTTGCAAAACGGACCGCGTTTAATATAAACACATCTCGGTTTTTTTTCCTGGGAAGGTGTTGATTTGGCTAAGATACGTAATTACTTTTTAAGTTACGAAAAAAAATTAAAGCTGAATCGAATTTCACGAGTTGTAATATTGTGTGAAAATATCAGGTATATTCTAAATCACAAATAAAAATGCAGCAATAACGGGAAAGAAGAAAAAACACTTTCGAAAAACCTCTTAAAAAATTCGTGTTAAAATCGGTACAACGCAAATGATAAAATCGGCACAAACAGAGCACGTAAAAAATAATTATTTTAATGCGCAATTCAAAACTCGCTTGCTGTCAAAGTATTAAAAATATCATAATCTTTTTAAATCACGGGGAAAACGTAATAACTACTAAAACAATAACCAAAATACTTTAATATTTTAGATGAAATTGGAGTAAATAAAGTCCATCAAAATTTTATGTAATTTAAATGCGAGATTTGAAATTAAAATGTCGCAATAGCGTATAAAAAATATCGGTACTTTCAAAACCTTGTAGAAATGTGTAGCAATAATTTCTAAAATAACGATTGAAAAATAATTTGATTTGCGATAAAATCGTTACAAATAAGCCATGTCAAAAAATGGTTATCTAAATGAGCGATTCGTAATAACATCATGCTAAAATATCGAAGTTTTAAAAACCGGGCGGAAATGTGCAGCAATAACTGTTGAAGAAAGGATCTAAAGTCATTTAGATTTTCCATGAAGTTTGCACAAATAAAGCGTTTCATAACTTTCAAAAATCGCTATTTCAGAAACACTTGAAAATGGGTGGCAATAACTACCGAAAAGTCATTGGAATCGGCACATACGAAAAGCGTCAAAAGTGGTAATTAAAATTCGTAAATCGTAATAATGATGTATTAAAAATATTGGGATTTTTAAAACTATGCTGAAATCCGTAGCGTTAACCATCGAAAAACTACATTGATTGAGATTGGGTGCATCAAAAACTTAAAACTGTAAATTTAAATTACCGAATTTTTTTTATTATTTTTCAAAAACAAATATTTAAATTTTTTTTTCACTTTGTTCAGATTGCGGCCGCGGGCCGCAGGTTGAGCACCCCTATTGTAATAATATTATTACTAATAATAATATTGTAATATTATAACTATAATTATAACATTACAATTTAATTTTTAGTTACGTTCTGATGGTGATGATCGTATACTTGTTATGGGTGCTACTAATCGACCTCAGGAACTCGACGATGCAGCTCTTAGGTTTGTTTTTAAGCTTAATAGTATTATTTTGTAAACGTTCATATAAATGTTATGAAATTCAAATGTTTAAATATTTATATTTTTTTTCAAGCACATACATTCGAATACCTGCGTATTAATGAAGTAGTCATTGGTGAAAACTTAAAATCTAGTTTATTTTCTGTTATGAAAAATAACTACTTTACATTTATTCGACACATCACTTTCGTTGGTATATAGTTTATTCTACCAAATTCTCATTTAAATCCAATATGGTGGATAGTTCATGGGGCTGTTTTTTTTTCTTCTTTTGTAGAAATCGGGTATCTTTTTTATTTTCTAGTATCTCATCATAACTTCACCATAGGACCTCCATTATTTGATTATGTAACGAGGCACTATTATACTATTTAATATAGGAAGATGAATGTTTTTAACAATTTTATTTTTATGTTTGTAAAAATACAAATTGTATCTAATGAAGTTCTCTTGAGTACCTTGGGCTGTTTTTATATTTTTTGTAGAAATCTTTTTTATTTTCAAGTATCTCATCATAACTTCACCATAGGGCCTCCGTTATTTGATGATGCAACGAGGCACTATTAAACTATTTCATATAGGAAGATGAATATTTTTAACAATTTGTTCTTATGTTTGTAAAAATACAAATTGTATCTAATGAAGTTCTCTTGAGTACCTTGTACTTAGATTTTGAACAAAACCAAAATAATTAGGACTTAATTGAATCTATATTTATTATGTTTAACTCTCTATTTGCAGAAGATTTTCAAAGAGGGTTTATGTGGCACTTCCAAATCAAGGCACTAGAATTAAGCTGCTAGAAAAATTGCTCTCCAAGCAAGACAATTCTTTATCAAAATCAGATATAAAACAGTTGGCAAAGTAAGACAGAAATATTAAGTTTTAGAAAGCATGAAATTTTGTAAATTATCTTATTGGATCCTAAACAGAGTTTATTTTTCCTTAGATTGACCGATGGCTATTCTGGCAGTGACTTAACCGGTTTAGCTAAGGATGCATCCCTAGGACCTATACGAGGTATTTGATAAAAATGTAGAAAAACTATATTGCTTGCATTTTAATTTTAAGGAAAACAAATTACACTTTTATTTTTGAGTTAAACCATATATTTGATATTTTTATTCAAATTGAAATAAATTTTAGAATTTTAATTTTTTATAATAAATAAAAAATTTTTGTTATTGTGTAGTGGAGCAAAAAAATATCACTAACAGGTTATCAGCTGTGTCTTCATTTGATAATATTCTTAATTTGAAATCTAAACTATCACATCATGTAGTAATTAAACTTAGACAGTCATTTTATAACCAAGATTCTTTCCAAATACCTTGAAATCTTTTCACTCTCATATGACCACATAAATCATGACCTTTAACATCAACTCTACTTTTTGACTTGAGATAATAAAAAAATCCCCTTTTCCTTAATTAATGTAACTCTCAGCTCAGTGTTGACCAGTTCATTATGTTACACTAAACATTTAGATTGTTGAAAATTACTATAAAAAATAAATATAAAAAAAAGTTATATCTTAACATATACAAAGCTAGTAATAAATGTTTGCAGCAATGTAAGAAATTATCATTGACATCAAAATATTATGATTTTGTCTAAGCTATTCTTTAAAAAACTATGATTTTTTTACTATAGCCATATGCTATTTGTAGTGTTATTGACAGAAAATTTTGATTATTTCCTAAACATTGTCAACTGTTTTGTTAAACAGTTTAATACTTCGATATATCTAAATATAGTTTTCTTTTTAATGCCTCCTTAACTATCCCTTTTAAAGTTGATACAACTTTTTTGATTTGTTTTTCACAACCAATTTAATTTCTACTTATTATAGGTATATAAAGCTATTACTATTTTCAAAAATTTGCAAATTAAATATTATATAATTTTTCTTTTTAGAGTTAAATCCAGAACAAGTCAAATGTGTTGATCCAAAAGAAGTAAGAATGTTTGATTTCTGCTATATCAAATTATTTAGTTTTAATGTTATATTTTGTGGTCAGTACTGTATTTTCTGATGTATAAATTGATTTTTTTATCTCCTAAATTCTAATGATAGTTGGAAGGTCGAATTATACTTCTGTAATACATTTGAACTTGAAGTTCTCTCTTGCATTGCATATTAAATGAGGCTTCACCTAATAAGTTTATCTGATATATAAGAAAAGAAAACAAAGTCATAAAATCAAATTCTTATAATATAACAAAATCATAAGAATCTAAATTTTTATTTAAAGAAAAGAACATTTTTCGAATCTACTGTGCATTTCTTGAGTTGTTATGATTGATTTGCGAAATCTGAAATAATCCACTATGTTGATATCAGACCCTTAAATATAATTTTGTATAGTTAAAAAATATTTTTCAACAAATGTAAGCTCAAGGGTTAACCTTTACAACAAATGCATGCAAATTTTTTTATCTTAAATTTTAAAAAACATTACTGATTTATACAACAGATCAATTAATATTGTATTTCAAAGATATCATATTCATTAATTGATTACCTATCAGATTGCTACAATTGAACAATTCTTCGATAAAATCTTGAACATGTGGCATGCAAATTGATATTAGGTCATTGAAAAACTTAAACTGTGTTTAACTTTAACTATAAAATCTGACTGAAATACATATGATGTGGAATATTCTAATTAGTAATAAATTATGTTCAGTTTCACTGTTTTTAAGAAAAATCTTAACTTATTATATCTAAATAAATCATATGTATAAAATAATAGAAAACTTATTCAGCAAGTAAAATCTTTAACTAAAATTAAAAAAAAATTAAATGCATTGCGGTCATTTGAATCAGTTAATTTTAATTTCAAATCATTTTGTTAATTTAACCCATGTGAAAAGGTACTTTGACCAAATTATGCTCAATATGAATTCAATAAAATAAAAGGACTGGGACAATGTGGGCCGAGTATTGCGTTTCTTTATCTTAAAATGTTTCCTTATTTTTCTAATAGATATTAAATATTTAAATTGCATTTTATTTTACTAAAAACTCACATTTTTGACAAAGAAAACTCGAGAAAGTTTCACTTAAATTTCCTGTTTTATTATCTTTAATTTCATGAAAATTAAAGCAAAAAAAATGGTTCAAAGTGGTAAAAGTTTAATATATATACGAAAAATAATTTGATTTCAATAAAATTTTAATTTTTATAGTTTCTTCTTTGTAAAGGATTTTCTAGGTGTGTAGCTTTTTTAAAAAGTGTTGAAAGGTGATTATTTTTGATTTTCGTTTTTTAAAAGCCATTAAAGGTGCTTTTTTCATTGGGTATTTTTAAAAAGTGCTTAATTTTCCCTTTTTCAAAATGAGATTTTTGCTTTACTATGTTGATTTTCGCTTCGAAATATGCAAAAAGATAACAGTTCAGATTGTTCTATTCAACGTTTTTACAATTAATTCAGCCCCAATCTATTTTGGCTTATTGTCAGTCCGTAGCGCATGAAAACGCTAGTCGTTTTACATGATTCAAAATTTAATGATTTTTGATAATTGTCAAAAACAATGCCAAAAGGTTTTTTTTTTTTTTTTTTTGCATGACGGTTAAAACAAGACGAAACCGTCAATTGTCAAAAACTTTCCGACCCTGCCTAATTCTGAAATTCTTTTAAAGTGCTTAAAAATATGATTTGAGTGCTTGAAAGGTGCTTATTTTTTGTTGAATAATTTGGCTACGCACCCTGTGTTATTTTTTGAATAATATTTAATATTGGATGTGCTTAAATACTTGTAAAATTGTCATATGCTTATAAAATATCTATACTTAAATGTGTGCAAATGTTTATATTTTCTAGATGAGGAAAGTTTCCATGTCTGACTTTACAGACTCTTTGAAAAGGATCAGACGAAGTGTTGCTGCACAATCTCTGGCATTTTACTCTCAATGGAATTCAGAATATGGAGATGTTACAATATGACAACTGATATATTTAGGTGTCTCAATTGTTTTAGTTACTTACCTAAATAAATACTGAAGCTCTTTTTTCTGCTCTGCTCAATAGATTATCATTTGGTTTATATGGAGAGATATTTTCCTATTAGGGGTTCTTGTAACTGTTCACTCAAAAATGGATTAATTTTTTTCACTTTTTTTGAAAAAGAAAATTATTTTTGCAATTCATTACAATTTATTGAATGCCACATACTATGTATTTTTCTACTTATTGGTGTTTTTTTTTCTTTCTTTTTTTGAAAAAATATATTTTTTTTCTGTAACTTTCTAAACAACATTTTAAATGTTTGTAGAAATTAATTTTTTTAAATTTATAATTTGTTTTTTAAGTAATACAGCTTCTGTTAAAAATAAAAATTTATTTTGCTAAACAATTTAAGTACAGTAAAAAAAGATGCATTTATAACTCTTCCAGCTCACTTTATTTTTGTGTGTAACGAATTTTTTTTTTTTTTTTTTTTTTTTTTTTTTTTTTTTTTTAAAGATTGAAGTATCATGTATACTAAGTCATAGAAATATTATACTAATCAATAAACTTGTTTAATCTTTTTTGCATATTATGATAAAACAATAAAATTGTTTATTAACATAACTCCAATAATAGGAATTGCAATATTTATTCTTTAATTATCATAAATTTTATAATTTATATAGGTACTTACACGAAGTGTGTTTTAGCAAAACTATTGTTGTTGGTCTGACCGTAGTGATTTAAGTGTTAAAACACAGAAGTTTGAAAATCACTTTAATAGGTTATAGTCCAAGTACAAAACTATTACAATAATTTTTGAATTAATTAAATATATTAGTAAGCTACTTCCATATGTGCATTCTTAAGCTTTTGCATTTAAATTTGATTATTATTATTTATTTTTTTTATGTATATAATTCTCTTTTCCAAATTTAGAATACATTGACCTGTTTAAATTATAGAAAAGGCAGTTTTTTAAATAATTAATTTTAAGACTTTTATGTTTCAAATAATCTATTTACTGTAGTGTCAGGCCAACAACAATTTGATTATTACCTATAGCTTATTTACAACAAATATAAATATATATAAAATTTAAAAAAAAACTGTAGACTTTTTTCTAATTACTCCTGATTTCTAATTCTTTCTGATAACTAATGAATTCTAGAATAACTTTAATCAATGTTTCTCATTCATTATGTTAAAACTAAAGAAAATTTTTATTTCTAATAGTAAAAATATACTTCAGATTTGCTTAATGGTTTTAATACATGTATATAGCTTGAAGTAGGCATTCGGTTATAATATTTCTTATAAATTTACTTAACTAAACCTTTCAGTTTAAAGTTTGTGGTATTTTGTTTCATGATTTTTTTTTAGTCTTCGTTTAATTTCATAAAGTTGTCATTTGTTTCTATGTTGCTTTTCTTTTTAAAGTGCTAATAATGTAACTATTATTTTTTTCATGTTTATGAACAATTATGTACTAAGTCCGTCCAAACGGCTCAAGTATACAAAGTTACACAAATGTCCATATATATTACAATAATACTGTATTGCTCACTCTATTTATTTTATCTCCTTTATAATATGTTTGCTCTCTGATTTTGATGACCTTAAAAAATCTTTTAAAAACAGGAAAAACTTAATAATAATTCCCTATTTTTAAGCTGTAATTTCAATCTAAAACATCTCTAAATTTGCATCGAAAATATTAATTATATTGAAATATTATATTAAAAGAATCATTAAACTCTTGTCCAGAGTAATGTTATATTATAAATAGCTGAAATATTAGAAAATTGCATATAAAAATGTTTCAATAAAAAATGTGTCCAAAAATAAAGAAAATATCCAAAATCTTGAAGAAAATGCAAAGGTCATTAAAAACCCAGGCTTTAGTTATGAGTTACTCTTACATATATATTCATTCACTTTTTTAACTTTACTTTATTCCTCACAGTGCTGTCTCATAATATTCCTACAAATACACATGTTGATTAACTTTTTGATGTTGTTATGAAGTAATTTTAATTTCTTCCTCCTCCACGATGTGAGCATTTTACATATAGCATTCGCTAATGAAGTGCTTTATATACTGCTGTGCAATATACTCTGTAATGTGTTTTTGATATATGGAATTTCTTTAATTGTAGGTAATATAATATTCAATAGTTATAAATTGCGGATGTCTTTTTGTTAGTTTGAGTATTCATTAATCTGACTAGCATAATATCAGCAATTATTGTTTAGAATTGTAACACTCAGTACACAATTTCAGTTTTATCACTCAAATTAGTAGTCAAAAATTAATTTTCAATGTTTTTATTTTTAAATGTTTTGTCCTAAAATTATTTGGTATATAATATGATTGTTTGTGATGGTGAACTTTGTATTTGCCTGTGTGAAAATATTTTTAATATATATTTTGCCAATGTAAAAAGCTTTTAATATAGATTGTGCTATGAAATTGTATTTTAACTAAGCTGTTAATACTGTGATAATTGAAATAAAATTTTTACCTTTTTTTTTTTTCTTTATAGTAGTGTTTCACTCAAATTTCATTTTAAGTAGTTTAAATTTTTTGTTATAATTCTTTGTTTGGATGAAAGAACCACAATTTTGTACCAGCTTATGCACTGAAATTCTTTTAAATTATTAATATTAATAACATAAAAATATTTTATTACAGAATGTCATATCATACATCCAACGCTTTTGCCGTTAAAATTAAATTCCAATTTCTATTTTGGTCTAACAACTCAGTACTTAATGTAAGGCGAACAAATAACAATATATTAATTTAACATTGCCCTGTTTTAAAATTCTATAAAAAATGTCATATGCTTCTCTATCAGTTAGAGGATGGAAATAGTTTCTGCACTTAAAGAATATATACATAATTTTTAAATATATTTTAATTTGTTTTTATATTGCTTGAATATATTTTAATTTGGTGGGGAATATTGCTCACCTGAGTTTTCTTTTGAAAACTGTCTTTCATCTGAATTTACATAACCTAAAATATATACTCACCTTGGTATATATACATAATTTTTAAATACATTTTAATTTGTTTTTATGGTGCTTAAATATATTTTCATTTGGTGGGGAATATTGCTCACCTAATGTTTTCTTTTGAAAATTGTCTTTAAAGTCAACTTGGAAGTACTTCATTTGCAGTTTATGAAATAAGCAAAAGTATACTTGAGTACAGTTTTTAAAAAAAGTTATGTTTATCCTAAATACTCATCAAATTGTTAGATGATTCTCATTATTAAATTTTAGCAGTAATTGTTAAAAATTTGTGACTGCTGCTGTTTAAAATATCTAAAAAGAAATTTACTTAATTCTTTCCTTAATAATTCATTTATGGAAACATCATTGAGAGAAATATTTGAACCCATTCACTTTTTCAGGAGCAGTTAACGACTGCTCCTTGTCTTTAGTTTTCAGAACAGTATTTTAACATTCTTGTCAGGCAATGGTTCAATATTTTTTTCAGAGAAATACAGCAAAGTCACTTACATGGAAATTTCAGGAATTTTTCAACAATTTTAATGTTTTGTTATATTTTAATTTTTCTTTCTTACTAATTGCACCATCTTCATCACTGCTCAAGTCTGTTGCATAGTATGTAATTATTTTAATAATCTGTGACAAAACAAATGCATGCTATGCAATTGGCTAGAGTAGAGAGGAAGATGCCATTTCTAGTGAGTGGTGAAAAAAGTTACCTAAATTTTTAAAATTTCAACCACTTATCTCCTATCTATCTAATAGCAATATATATGCAAGACAAATAGCTGTAGTATATGAATAACTTCCCTTCTTTTGCGAAAAGCATGACCGATCAAAGATACATGGTATATTCTAGTCTGCTTAACATTCACTTAGCAAATTATTTTTATTCCATATAGTTACAAACTATCGGTAAATGAACCTCAATCTTACCAACAGCCTTGCTTTTTTAGAGCTTTCATGTTTCTCAAGACCAAAAAATGTAACTGTTTTTTACTGTTCAATATTTTTTTAGAGGAAGTAGCACCATTTCATGGCATATAAATACGATATGATTTTATATAGTTTTTAGCTAAATACCAACTGGAATAAACAAAGGAATTTTTCAACAATTTTGATGTTTGGTTATAACAAATTGCACCATTTACATCACTGCTCAAGTCTGTTGCATAGTATGTAATTATTTTAATAATCTGCGACAAAACAACTGCATGCTTTGCAATTGGCTCAAGTAAAGAGGAAGATGCCATTTCTAGTGAATGGTGAAAAAAGTTACCTAAATTTAGATATTATGAAGTTGCTAAACATTTTTAGCAGAAGTTGTGAACTACACTACATAGAAATGCTATATATCATGAAATGAAAATTCCAGGCTCGCTATCTGGAGTTCATCTCGTGATGGTATGCAATCTCATTTACATTTGACACAGTCTACATTTAATTAAGCACACATAATATGGGCATTTTTTTCCCTGGCTTTATTCTTATTTGAACTTGGCTGTCCAATAGAAAGGTAAGTATCTAATAAAAAAAAAGCACATCTAAAGGAATAGAGCAAACATTTTAATGCAAAGTAATAAATGAAAAAGAAATTTTTTCTTTTTTAAAAGCTAAAGGTTCACGCAATCTGTAAATGGTGATCGAAATGGGCTACAGGTGGCATAGAGAAGAACTTCTTACCATTTATAGCAACACTTCGCATGCTTTCACCATTATCGTGTGGAGAGTCATAGAAGAAGGAAGTATGCTAGTTTCTCTCTTGATTTTCATATAGATTAAAATCTTTTTAGTTGGGAAGTGGACTGTTTCCCAGAAGGTCACCAATTGCTCATTGTGCAGCTCTTGTTGTTGTTGTTAATTTACGTCGCCCTAGAGCTGCACAATGGGCAATTGGCGACGGTCTGGGGAACATCCCGGAAGATGATCCGATGACATGCCATCACAATTTTGATCCTCTGAGGAGAGGACGGCACCCCCGCTTCGGTAGCCCAACGACCTGCGAGCGAAGTCGAGCACTTTACGGTATCACAGTTTAACGAGGACCAATACCGCACACCCTCGGTCTCTACGCAGACTGATCCAAGTGGTCACCCACCCGCACACTGACCGTAGCCAGCCCGTAACCGTGTCATTGTGCAGCTCTAATGCAACGTAAATGAACTACCACCACCACTTTAAGTTGGGAAACTATATGGATTTGAAAACTACATTAAGCATAGTTCTAAAAGAAAGCATCAAGGAAATGTTTAAAAAAATATTTCTGTTAATTAAAAACAAAAAATATTAAGAAAATGAAAAATATCGTAGTACATTTCTATGCAACTGAAAAGAGGAGGAGAGTGAAGGTAGAAGAGCCAAAGGCATGTAACCAGTCCTCTCCAGCTGACGTATTCGAGCGTTGCGATCGCCTAAAATATTCCAATTCTGCAACAAAAAAAGCCCTCCCCCCTTAAAAAATTTTGAAATTGAAAAGCAAAGCACAAATTCTCGTCACTCGTCACTGTCACTCGTTTCGGTCCTACCTTGGCGATAAAATCTCTTTAGTGTTCATCAATTTCACAGAAGTCTAGGGTTAAAAGTCGACTTTCTGAGAGAGTGGTGTAATGATTTCAAGAATCAGAGGCATTACGTTTTGAAGTGGACTGATCGTTAACTGACTAATCACAGTGATCGTTAAGTAACAAGTATCACTGGCTTTACTGTACTGGTAGTACCGAAATACTTTACTGAAGGACAGTTGAACGAGGACCAATACCGCACACCCTCAGACCCATCTCAGGTTGAACAAAGTGGCCACCCATCTGCACTTTGATTCTGATTCTTGAAATCATTACTCCACTGTCTCAAAAAACCAACTGATGTTTTTGAAAGAATATGAAGTACCAGTACCAGGTTATTGATGAAATCAGAAAATCGAGGTTGTTGTAAGCAGTCTGACTGATACATTGCCTTGTTTTTGTTCGCTTGATTTTGGCAACTTATTATTATTAATTTGTAGAAAATATATCAACAGAAGTGTTCTTTTCTTTTTTCGTCTAAGTTTGTCTTATGTTATAATCTTTATTAAATATTTCTTTTTCTCAAAATGATCTGTTTATTTACAATTGCAATTTAATTTCAACAGTTTTTGGGTCATCCACAGGGATACCTCCTAGTGCGCAGCTCTAGTGCGGCGTAAATAAATTACAGCTGAAGCATTGTACTGAAAGTTAACTGTAACGGCGACTAAAAATAACTTTCTCCGGTCAAAATGTGAGAAAGAAAACAAACGCGCATGTTTATGTGAAAAAAAGCTGATGTTTGTACTTATAGATTTAGTTATGATTAAGTAATCACGATTATGTGATTAAATATAACATCATAACTTTTTTTCTTATGATAATACTTTTTACATTCAATATGAATGGGTGCTATATATATAATAAAATAGTCAGAAACTTTCGTAATTGCTATCGTAACTATGGTGAAAATGAATTGGCTTTAAACCTTAAAAAGCAGTTATCTCTCTCTGCAAGTATCCGTGCATCTGATAAAAGAATCTTTACATTTAATTCTGTATTTGAATTTCATAGCAGAAAGAAATTGTGGCAAGATTTTAAAGTTAACTTTAACGAAAAACTTATTGTTTTAGGCGAAATTGTGACAAAACAATGCAATTTTGTTGCATCTCACAGAATCCGGCGAATGGGCCAAGTGTGGAATCTGTACACAAATTTATATACAGAAAAAACAATCAATCATATAGTTTCTCAATTTGCGAGGAGTCTGCGGTCTAAAAAACGGCCATTCACTGTATTATTGGGTGCTTCTATGTTTTGTTGGGATAAAGAAAAGATAACCGATGAAGAAATTCAAAGGTATCTGAAGTTTTAACTGAACATTCATTGCTGTACGAAAATAATCCGGCACATTTGCTTAGTTTCGTTATATTTCTATAATATGTTAAAGTAAAGTTTAAATAGATGATTGTTATGGGTAGTGAAATATTTATCGAAACTTTCACTCATTATGTTCCCTATTAAATTCAAATATATTTATCGAATAAGTTTTTAAATAACAATAATTTTGATATTTATCTCACATTTTTCTGTAAATATGAGTAAGCTGAGATTTTTAAGATATTTCTATTTTTTAATCTAATCTCTCTCTTTTGGGGAATTTTCTTATGGCATTATTTTATATTAAAGAGGTATCTGTAGGTTCCCAATATTTTTTGAGTACAGAATGATTTTATTACATTACAGAAATGATAAAAACATTTAATTATTTAGCATATTTATCTATTCTTGACAACAAAAAAAGAACAATATTTACATGCACATTAACATTATCAACAATAAAGGAAGATTAATATAAATAGTTATAAACAAAAATGATATTACAGAACTACTGCATTCAAATTAACACTAATCGCACCATAACTGGTAAAAAAAAAACAGTTATTCTTTGCTGTATTGTAAAGTGTTGTATGTTTAGTATTAGGTTATTACAGTCGAGAACCGATTATCCGGAAAGGTCGGGACCATCGCGATTCCGGATAACTGATTTTTCCCGTTTTCTGAATCGCTGCCGGTTTTTTAATGTTTCTAAAACGAAACTAAAAAATAATTTTGAAATAGTTTTAGAAATAATAAAAAATGATAAATAATAATACATTTGAGTTTAAATATGGAAAGAAATTATGAAATAAAAATTATATACAGGTTTATATATGTTATTATTAACATTAATAACATATATAAGCTATTTGTGCTTATGTGAGATTCGTCTACAAACGGCTTTTGATCCATCCTCTAAATCAGTTCTTTCGTCAACTCGATACGCCGTACGCTCTAAATAACAAAACGGGCTCAAAATCTTGCAAGAAATAAAAAAAAATTTTAATGGAAGAAAATTAATTTCCGGTTCCGAATTTCATTCCGGTTTTCTGATTTCCGGATGAGAGGTTCTGCACTGTATTATCATATTAAGAATTAAGTAATGTAATAATAATAATTTTGCGCACGTAATTCTTCATTGCGAAATCCATATTTAACTTTTTGTGTCAAACTTGGGCAAGCATGTTTCATTTTTATTAACAAATAAAATTACGTTAAAATATTTCCAACTGTCACCGTGATTATTTATTTTCTTTGCAACGCGATAATTGTGTTTGCTCGTCTGCTAATGATGGGATCACTGATATTTGGGCTAAATTAGCAGTTTTCTCTTTTCTCTTCAGTAGCAGCACGCATACAACTAAACAACCGTCTTCTAGCTTGCATAAATAGTGATTATGTTGTTGTCTGTTTCTTATTTTATTTTTCTCCTTACAAATTTTTTTTTTTTGCGTGGATACTTTTTTTAACATTACAAAAAATATATAAACATTATCTACGAAATTGAAGAACCCCTGTCAATGTATCAGCGCATGACTTGTGCTTGTTCCTCTATATTATCTAACTATGATTAGGTCATTTATAACTAAAATTTTTTAATTATTTTTAGCTACAGTGAAATCTATCTAATTTTGCCTTTTATAATGCAAAAATTTGATGGTTCACTGAAACAAGTGGACAACTTACAAAGTGAACATTAAATTGCTTTTGCGAGTTTGACAATTGATCATTAAAATCAACTCACAAAGGTGGTCAATTTTACCAGGTTTATCTGGATATTGAAGAATATATCTGTACCAGGATCTGTTGCGCCAACTGCAAATGCCAAGACGACGAAAGGATTTTACGCTTGTAATTATAAAAATGAAAAAAATGATGAGGTTTAACAAAGGGTGGCTACTAGTTATACTGTTCGAGTTTGTCCCTTTTCTGTGATGCATATTTATTATTTTTTTAAATTTCTCATGACATGCTGCCCGAAAGTTGCAACTTGATCATTATTCTGCTCTCAGATCTCAATACGGAAATTTTTCTGTATATTGTAACCTAGTTTATGTATACCAGTGTTTCCCAAACTTATGACTTTTATGTACCCTTTCTAAATTTTTCGTAACTCTGTGTACCACTAATAAAAAAATGAATGCATTTTTTACTGTAAAAAAATTGCACAAAAGTTAAAAATCTTTTACTCTGCAAAAAATAGCCAATCGAAAAATACGTAATTGTAAATTTTCATGGCTAGCTTTGTATTTAAGTAAAATTGTTTGAAATTTTCGTTTGTTGCAAGATATTTCACATAAGAACGCGTACCCCCTCTAAACTGTTCCCGTACCCCTGGTGGTATGCGTACCACACTTTGGGATGTATACAGTAGTTAAATGGACATCTTGGTTAAATGGACACTCTTGGGGTCGAAAAAAATTGTCCGCTTATGAGAGTTATCCGTTTACGGAAGGGTGCACTAATAATGAAGTTTAACACTGTAAATTGTTTTTAGAATTATAGAAATATTTCATCTATAATAACTATTCACATTGATATTTATTTAAAAAATACTTTTTTCAATACTAAATGAATATATTAAAAAGTTTGATATGTATACACACAATTCTAGATGTAGCTACAGTGAAATGAATATGTTTTTCTTATTTACATAGACATTCAAATTAGTCATATACGAAATATGAGCTTTTAGTCCTATTTCACTTGCTCCATCAGTTTAATTATTAGGTTTACTCCTCCTCTCATCACTTGATCGGAAACATGATAATACCACCTTGAAGGTAAACCTCCTATATGCCCAGAAGAAATAAAGCATTGATGCATATCTGTAAGGTATAACATGGAGTTGATTTATTCATAATTTATCGTCAATCAAATGTCTGAATAAATGTTTCATCAATTCACCTAAATGATTAAAATTATGTTCTCTCTCTCTCTCTCTTTTTTTTTTTTTTTACCCATCTGTGTTAAATGCAGTCTCCCAATTGATTAGAAGTAGAAAGAAATTTTCAGTGAGAAAGAGAAATCGAGAGCAGTTGAGGTGTTATTTCAGCTTATGGGGTCTCATAACCAGTACTATCCAGATCAAAATATGCTGCTGTCTAAAACATTTCACATGACCAGTATCATTAAGATAAAGGAGTGTGAAAAAGATCAAGGATTGTGACAGGAGAATGATTCTTTAGTAGTAATAGCTTAGCAATAATTTTAGTGGTGTATAAGGCAAGAAATTTACATTCCCCCCTTTTTTTCCGGAATTTAAATCAGAAAAATTTTTTCTTTTCCAATTAAGAAAAATTGGTTTCTGGTTTGTAAGAGATAAAAAAAATGTTTGAGGGTGTAAATTACTGTCCGTGTCCGGTTACGAGACTGTCCGCTTTACTGAGAAGGTATATACTGGTTTATTTATCGAAGATTAACAGGGAATTAAAAATACGACCTTAACCCATTCGCTGCTACTAAAAATGATGTTTCCATCCTCAGAAGCCGGATTACAAAACAGGGTTTTAATGGTTTAAATGTTTCTTATATTTTACTGGGAAAACCAGAAAAACGAAGAAACATATTATTTTCCTGTTTAGAGAATTTTTTTTTCCCCGACGCTCTGGAACGTCAGTGGCACACAGACTGAACCTGTCTTCGTGAGTGCCATTGACTCTCCAGCGCGTCTGATCAATATTCTGAAAAATTACTGGAATGTTGCGTAAAATAGCAGCTTAAAAGGAATAAAACAGAATACCATTCTAGTATAAGTAGTACCATTTATAAAACAATGCTGAAAATTTTTACAAATAATAAGCACAATATACAGATATTGACAGTCACGCACATAAAAAAATTCAACAATATACAGATATTGACAGTCACGCACATAAAAAAATTCAAACAAAGTTTTGAAAACCAGTCACAAAAAATAAATAAATAATGCTTCACTAATGTGCCAAAATAACCTCTCCGTTCAACTCCCAAAGCCACACTAAGCACAGAGCATATAACTTGTCATAGTCCATCGATGTGCTAGCACGTTGTTGGCATACCAGGAGGTGCCGCTCTGATGCACCAGTGCGTTGGTGGCAGCGAATGTGTTAATGAGAGGTATCCGTTTTGTAGGAGTGTTCGTAATGTGACATATAACTATTATAATCTAGTTTTCTTCAATATTTTGTTATTTTAACCTTAAAGAGTGCTGTATCGCTGAATATATGTGCTTTTCATGGCAAATTCTGTTTCACTGCTATTGATTTTTTAAAGTTAAGAGAAAATTGAATTCAGGTTAACCTAGTATAAACCATAAAGTTTCAATAAAATGTTTTTTATTTATCAAAATGAAAGCAAATTATTGTACAACTGTTTCTCTAATGTGTGAACTTGAGTTATCTTGCCATTATTTGTTTTATAACTGCACCATTATTTGTTTGCATTTTGATATGTTTTTAAAAAATTTTGAGCTTTTAAAGGGTCATGGTCACTATGCATGTTTATATTTATTGAAAATGCCAAAACTAAGGAGAGGCACTTATCGATTTTAGTCAGTGTAAATTGGTACTACCTATATAGAAATTATTTCGATATAATATTATAATGTATTATTTTAAATGCTTTAAATAAAGTTTTAAGACTATTAGATATTAAAGCATATATAAGTATATGCTAACTGACTTTAATTTTTCAATGCTGATTAAACAATAGCTTTCACTTGTTTTTTTATTTAAAAAAAATTAGATTTTCGTTGCATTCCAATTGCTTAATTTTATTTATACTTTTATTAGCTTGTTTAGCATCTTTATTCTAATAACTTATTTTTAAAAGGTGCATTTCTAAAATGAATTTGTAGAATTGATTATCGACTTCATAAGGATTAAAGTTTATAAAGGCCATTTATGAAGACAGTTACATATCACATCCTAATTGAGTCAATTGCAGTGCCAAGACTACCAGTATTGCCACTATCCTGTACTTGTATATGCAATAAATTAAATGCACATATATTTGTTTATGTTGATTTGCTGTAGCTACAAATTTTATTCTTCGAGTTTGCGCTGTTCTATAATTCTAATTGATCCATTTTATAACTGCACCAAAACATTTTTTTTATGATTATTTTTATATTTTAGTTTTGTATATTATATTTTAGAACTTTTTTTTTAAATTTATTTATTTATTTATTATTATTTTTTTTAACCCTTTATGATTTGAATGTTTTGATTAGATATAGGGACGCAGACAGGAATTTGCTTGAAGATCTGGCTTTTTTCAGAAATTGTAATTCTGCGTGAGTTTCATTTTATAAAATTGATTATGTGCAAATTCTTTTTTTACATACATTGCTTATGTCCTGTATACTAACATGGAATCTACATTGTTAAAATTTATAATTTTATACAGCTGCGTTTGTGAATTGGATAGATATCGTAGAAGCGATGATCATCCTACCAAACCCATATCTGGTGGAGGCCTTGTCAACAAGCTTATTCAAGATGGCTGGGAAGCAGTTATACAAAAAGAATGTGTACAGGTGTGGAGGAAAGCCTTTCCGAATTCCTACTTATATGAATATAAAAGTAAATATTTAAGATCCAAAATATCTTTTTTTCTTTATTAAAATTGAATGTTATTATTTTTTTTAAAATCTAGCATTCAGGGTTGCCACAGGCGACTAAAATGCAACTATTTTTAGCATGAGGCAAATATGGCAATTTTTTTTTTTGCCTGAAAAGGCTAAAAAAAGCAACTATCTTCAGGAAAAGGAGACTTTTCTGTACTCCTAGCAATGTTTTTTAGCATGAATTGGGTTGAAAACCTGCAGCCTGTGAAATCTTCTGAACACACTGAATTTCTCTTCATAAAAAATAAAAAATTTTAAATAAAAATAATAACATTTTAAAAAAATAAAATAAAATAATTAAAACATTAAAAATTTTAGATTGCAAATTTGAGTCATCACTTTTTAATGCATTCAATTTGCATAGATTCTATCCTAAGTCTATTTCGTTTCTCGATTGCCTTTTCAACTGTTTATGCTACAAAATTCTGCACGATTTTAAAAAACCCAATTTTTATTACGATGCATGAATTTTGAATTTGAGTAATCACTTTTCACAATATATATATATATATATATATATTTGCTGAATCAATTATTGATAAAAAGGAAAATTTCTTAGAATAAGTGTGCTTTTTTTAATAAAAAGTATTTTTTGAATGAATTCTAGTAATTAAAAGTTTTTAATTTACTGCAAATATACAAATTTTTATTTATATGAAAATTTAGTGCTAGAACACTATCGTTTATATAAAAATTATCATATTTGCCACCAACTTGACAGTTAAGTCATTTAATAAAATTTTAGTCTTATTTTTGTTCTTATTTAGGCAACTATTTTCATAGTTTTCGGCAACTATTTTCATGCTGTAGGCTACTAAAAGCAAGTATTTTGCTCAGTTTTTTCTGTGGCAACCCTGAGTATTGAAAACTTAGAGATTTTCTAGATTTCATTGATTATCTCCTGAACCACCTGATCAATTTAAATGAAATTTGTTTTAAAAAAAAGCTAGTTGTAATACAAACAAAATTTCTGTACTAGAGATATATTACACTGGTGTAAGAAATGTAGAGAATTTGCAGACTTGTTCGATTATCTCTAAAACTACTTGCCCAATTTTAATGAAATTTGTTATGTACATACATTGATACAATACAAAACAAATAACCACTTAACAATTGTAATACACATGCATGATCATGCATAATACATATTGGAGTCGGAAGGTATGAAATTGCCACGGGAAATGATAAACTGCCTTATATCAAGTATGAAATCATGCTGCATAACCCATTTTTTTCTGCTTATTATGTAACCTCTGTTTCATACCTTACGACTCCAACGAGTGTTGCCCACGATCATGCATGTGTATTACAATTGTTGAATGATCATTTGTTTTGTATCGTATCAATGTATGTACATATCAAATTTCATTAAAATCGGTCTAGGAGTTCTGGAGATAATTGACCAAGTCTGCAAATTCTATTAATTTCTTACACCAGTATGACACATATGAGTGTTTGTAACACCCATATGAGGGCATTTGAATTGAAAGGTATGAAACAGTGGTTATAAAACAAACATATACGTGGATTAATAAGAGACTTGGTCCTTCTAAGTCTATTTTCAATGATATACAAGTCTCTGTCAGTTATAGAGAAGAAATTAGATCTTTCTTAGGCAATTGCGATTCAACCTCCTCTGGTAACTATCTATGGTTTGAAAACAATGTTGCTTAACAAGTGGTACTAATTGCAATAGGAACTTTTTATTTCTTTCATTGTATCGTGATGTGAGCCTTGTATATTATTGAAAATATATTGGGAGAGAGTTTTACTTCATATTTACTCTTCTTCCCTGTAGTAAATGTATGATATAGTGAAATTTGTATGTTTTTTTTTCAATGTCAAAGTATATACAATCGAATTTCATCCTAGATTCATTGTTCCGACATTTTTCATTTTCCTCCAAGTATCACGTTGTTTTAACAATCCCATCGGAAAGGCTAATTTTATAATGTTAATTATACCACTTAAATCGTTTTTTAAACTAGCCGATTTCCGCATCTAACGTAAGAAATTTACTGATATTTTAGAAAAATATTGAAGTTGATTAATTTTGTTCAGAAGAAAAACTGAACCTCTTGGTGCTAATTATGAAGTAAAAAAGGAGGACTTGTTACAGTTGGCATAAAGTGCCTCAAATATCAGATTAGATGTTTATACATCAGCTTATGAAAATGTTTCAAGAAATAGTTGCAGGGGCAGAAGTGCAAAGCAATAAGAATGAAGGTGGCGAACTTAAAACACAACCACTGTTAACTCTTGGAGAAGTCCTCAAAGTCTGTAAAACTATAATAAATAAATACTTTCTGTATTTACTTTAGCTTACAGAAAATGAACGGCGCTTTGTTGTAAATGTCAAAGACTTTTTGTTTGTGCTATGCTATTAAAAAAAAGAGGATGTTTAAACAAAAATTTCCAAATATTTTAAATAAATTAATATGTTTATTCGTCCTAATTTTGCATCCTAAATATTTTTTAACAGAAGTAAAGTAAAATAAAGATACTTTAAACAGAAAAGTTGCGAAATATGTAATTTAAAAATCAATTTTGTTTGGGTTTTGAAAGAAAAGTAATTAACTTAGTTTTTATTTAGATAACACATCAAAACTCAACATAGCTGTTATTTAGAAATTAATGTTTGCTTTATCTCTGGTTATCTCAAATCTGTATAATAAATATTACCTAATTTTTCAATTTAATTAATGAAAATCAATTTCATTTCCTTTTTAGTTATGGGTACATTTTATGATGTTCCAGCTAGAGCTTTTTTTGCTGTTCAAGTAAGAAATATTTTACCTATCATCTACAACTTACATGAATTTATACATTTAGGGGTTGTTTTTCAAAGCTTCTTGTGGGAAGAGAAGTAATTGACAATGTCAACATTTATCCATGAAAAAGTACACCAACATAAAATTGAGTTAACGTGTCTTATATACTAGTGAATTGGAATTGTATTTTTGTAGTGGTAGAGACACTGCAGTACTCACCCACCAGAATTATAGAGATAGAATTCGATAAACAGATACCAGTAGTTGATTCATTGCTGTTTTGTGAGAAGCCGGGAAGTTCACGGTCGCTCCTGTGTTGACATTAACAGTCGAGTGTATTCAGGCTAACTTTGTGTGTGATCGAGACTGAGTTCAATGTGGACCATCCATCAGAGTAGGCGTGTTTGAACCGAATTGGGAGTTTCTGTTAAAGTACGCGTTTTCTTATCTTGTCTGTGACACTAATGTGGGGAGAGAAGTTATAGACAATGTCAACATTCATTTATGAAAAGGTACTCCATAGAATTGAGTTAACATGTCTACACTACACTCCTATAATAATGTTTTTGGTATTGCTGAATGATAAAGAATCAGTGCCAGACATTATTAAAATTGTTGGTTGCATATCAACTGGATTATTTTTGGCCACTATTCGATTTGTTTCATTTTACTGATCATCAACAAAATATGAATTTATACATTTAGGGGTTACTTTTCAAAGCTCTTATAATAATGCTTTTGGTATTACTGAATAATAAAGAATCAGTACCAAACATTATTATAAAAATTGTTGGTTGTATATCAATTAGACAATATTCAGCCACTATTCGATATTCGGCCGTTTTGCCAAACATTTGGTGAATTATTCGGCAAGGTATTTATTAAAAAGTGTTATTTGACATTTTTTTATTTTTAGATATTGAATAAATATATTTAATAAGGAGTAACCTTTAATTGTATTTTTTACTATACATTACTGGAAACAGTTTTTACACATATTTGTTAAGTTAGGAATAGCATGCAAAGGTTACTTAAGTTAACTTACAAATTTGTGTTCTGACAGACAATGGAAAAGCGAAATTTGAAGAATTGGAACTAGATTTTACTTTATACTGAACCATGAGTTTTTCACTGCTGATTTTTTTAAAAATTATTTTATGGCAAGTCAATTTCCTCCTTTTATTTAACACCCTTTCCTTTAACAATTGAGAATTTTTTTGTTTTGTGTTTGCTGTTTTCTTAACGGAGCGTTTCTAATAAACGTAATTTTCTGTTTGACAAATAGCCGGTAATGTTGAAAACTTTGATTTCCCATGTTAAAGTTATATTTTAAGAATTAAGAACAGTTTTTTTCTATATCTCTTTTTCTTTTTAGTTAACTTTTCTTGTTATCAGCTTTTTTATTTTGGCACAGCATTTTTGAAAGAGCGTTTATTATGAACGTTATTCTTTTATTGTCAGTTTTTTCTAGAAATGCGGCAGTGTGAAAAAGTTATATTGAGATTTTTAAGGTTAGTCAGTTTTTTATTTATCTTAAATATTTCTAATAGGTAACTATTATAGTTTTCACTCCCTTTTCCCCTTATTGTTTTTTAATAATGACTAAACTTATTTATAAATAGGAAATATTTATTGGTGGTTGTAAAAGAAAGAAAAAAAGCTCTATGTGGTTTTTGAATATTTGATACTCAATCGTTTTTTGTTGTTGTTGTTTTAGGCCAAATACCGACTGTCTGCTTCAATTAACTACATTATTGTGTGTTCTAATTTGTTATTTTTCTATATTCTAATTTCTAACTTCATTTAAGTTGGCAATATTATTTACAGGGTATCCGCGCACCTAGAAAGTCATGAATTTCAGTATTGAACAAAATTTATCATGAAATGTCATGATTTTTGCTATTTTTTTCAAAAAAATCATGGAAAGTCATGGATTTAGGTCTCTGAAAAAGGTCATATTTTATAGGAAAATAAAATGATTTTATCATGTTCTTTAAAAATTATGGTGTTCTTTCAAAAAATGAAAGAAAAAACATCATTTCTAGAGAGAATTATCTTTTAAACTTCTGTGGTTTAAGTATTTTTATTATTTAGTTGTTTTAATTTTGTGGTGATGTTCAGTTCATCACCACACACATTAAGATAAGAATAAAAATGAATAACAATTAAAAATAATATACTCTTAAGTAAGAGAACAATATCATTAGAATGATCACTAATTGCAAGGTGTTAAAACTATTTATTTAATATAGATCATTTAAGATATTTAGAGTTACAAATTTTGTTCCAGGAAGGCATTCACTCCAATTAATAATAGGTACATAAAAAAATTAACATGAAATTATACATTATGAAGCTGCACTGCTAATATATAAAATAAATAAAAAAATAAAAAATTAACATGAAATTATACATTATGAAGCTGCACTGCTAATATATAAAATAAATAAAAAAATAATTAAGGGGTGATAGAAAATTTTTATAATATAACTTAGCTGTTGAGGATCCTCATATTTTTGTGTCTTAACCTCAGCTCTCCTAAAACCATGTGTGACCTTCCCTTTTCTCTCACCTCCTCTAACCAAGCCCCAAAGCATACTCCACTCTTATTGGCTGTTACCACCATCACAAAATAAGTAGGGCTATACTTGCTATTTCTTTTTTTTTTATTTTTGGCTAAATTATTTAAGGGCAGAAAAGGGCAGGTGAAAACTTATGAAAGAGAAACTAAAACTTTAAAGTAATTATAGCAGTGCAGCAAAGATAAAAGTAACAAAACAGCATAAAAGCAATACCACATATATATAAAAGTAACAAAACATCATAAAAGCAATACCACAATTTTATCAATTTAAAATTCTAGTTGAAGCAAACCAGTCATTGGAGATTTTTTTTTATTCCGAAATGAGAACAGAAAAATCAGGAGTATTTCTTTCCTTTCTGATGAACAAGAAAAATATCTTTAGAATATAATTCTGCGCAAAAAAAAATTATTTGCTTTTGTATTTTTTTCCAGCTATATTTTTGTTTCAACTCTTTCTTTACTCTGTTTTTTAAATTTAAAATCTATAAATATGGAGATGCAGAGCAGTTTTAGTTATACCTATCATTTCAATGAATGTTATTATAATGCTTTTTTAAATGTATTGTTGCGTTTTTGTTGGAGAAAATAATAACTTTGTTAAGTCATGAAAAATTCTTGAAATTAGTCATGGAAAATCATGAAAAGTCATGAATTTGAAAATCTAAAATGTAGCAGATACCCTGTATTTACAATAGTATAATAGCAATGCAATTATTCTTGTTTATCAAAATATATTATGATGATGAGTAGAAAATATAAGATAAAATTGAATGATAATTACAGTTAGCGTAATGCATCTATTTTGAATAATATGATAGCCATATTCGAAATATTGTTACTTCTTTGATGTTCACAAGTCAAAGTTTGTCCTTACTTTACAATTACTTTAAAGTGCCTTATTCTTTTGTTAATATTTCATACGTTTATACAATTTAACTTTAATTTTTAGACTGATATTGAATACAGAAAGAAATGGGATAAACTGGTTATAAAACTTGATGTTATTGATAAAGAAGCAAAAGATGATGGTTGTGAAGTTATGCATTGGGTCATGCATTATCCAGTGAGTATTCGTGTAAACAGATGTAAAATAGATTTGCATTAACTATTAATGCCAAAGTTTGTAATTGAACTATTTATTCATAATGTCAGTATATATATATTTTTAAAATTACGTTTTATTAAACAACTCCTCATGCTCCACAAAGTATAACATGAAGCTTACAGAAGTAAGTGGGCAAAGTACAAATGAAAGTAAAAATTATAAAGAAACAAAATAAGAATTTAAAAGTTTAAGCTGCATACAAAATTACGTGAAATAGTAAGTATTCAGTGCACATAACAAAAAAGGATATAAAAGGTGACCAATAAATACCTGAAAGTCTCAACTCCTTTTTTAAACTTTCTCTTTGGTTTGAGTATAGCTTACAATAAAAAATATGTTCAACAGTTTTAGTGTCCTGTTCACATGAACAAAGATTGTCATTAATCAAATTAAACTTTTAAAATTACTGTGACCAGTAAGAATCTGGGACAGCTTAAAGTCAGTAGAAAAAGTTTTACTCTTTATCTGATAAAAAGTATTTCAAAGGAAAATAGAATTTATTAATAGATCAAAATTGAATCATTTTTGTTTCTTGATATTCATGGGGTTACTGTTCTATCAGAATTTATCATTTTGTTTACTATAGTCCTTGGCCAAATTATTAGACGCACCATAAGATTCTATGTAAAATCTTAATTATCATGTAATAATATACAGCTTTATTGTTTTTACTCAGCTGAAACCGGTTTGCACTTGTTTACTTTCCTAAAGTTTGAGTTTATCTGGAATGAATATTTGGTAAAACTCAGTGTATCCATAGTTTGTTTGATTGAAATTATGAGCATACCTTATTAACTATATTTTGAAATGTTCTTTCGTTAGTTTTAATTTCTCAAATAACTCTAAGTAATCTAATATTCCCCCCACTATATAGGCAACCCATACTTAAATCTTTGCCACAAGATTGATTTATTTCCACTTCTATGGCTTTTTTTCGTATTCAATTTTTAATGATTATAGCCTTGTATTAAATATTCTTGAAATAGGAAAATATTAGATTAATGTAGATTTTTGGTTACACTGAACTTTTTTATATACATACATTCAATGTAACGATTCATTTTGTCCCAATTAAAATGTAACTTATAATGTGAGGTCATTTTATCATGAATGTGCAAAAATGCTAAAAATATTTACTCATAACTAAAAAGTACTAGGCTTAATCGCCTTGGATTAGAACCTTGGAAAGAGCCCCACTTATTCACTTTTCAAAAGTTTTTTTCACTCACTTTATTCACAGAGAAAAAACTAACTATATTTTGGTCACTATATTTGACTGAATGGCTCATTGTGGGCGTTCTATTGAATAACATCACATCTATGCAATAGAAAACAGGAATTTTGTATTGGTCATTACAATGGAAGGATCATACTAAGAATAATGGAAGGCAAAGAGAGGTCATACTAAAAATCTTAAACTATAGCGAAAAGGAGTGAGAGAAAAAATTTAAATTTTTTTAAAATATACAGACAGCTATAGTGAACACGGTTTATAGGGAACTCCCGGATATAGTGAGCAAAATGTTCGGTCCCCTGCCTTGCTATACATGTATAATGTTATTTTTTATGGATATAGTGAGCCAAAAAAGTGAGGAAGTTGGATATAATGAACTTTTTTCCGTCTTCAGCTGATTTTTTAAAAAAATTTTTAAATAATTTTGAAATTTCTACTTCAAAGTAAATGCATATACAGATTTTTAAAACCATCTACAGAGGGGAATGTAGCGATAAGCATTTTTTCTTGTTTGCTTCTTTTATCTCACTTTCTCATCCCTAATGCACCTGTAAGGTGTTAGTGGGATCAATATACATTTTCTGTCAGAGGGAATGAGTAATTATTCATTACTGGTCAAAGGGTTGGACACTAATATGTGTTGACAAGGCCCTCATTTCAACTCCTTTTTGATCTCAGTTCAGTTAAAAAAATCCTGCAAAGAAGTGTCAAATTTAACTATAGCTAGCAGTAAACGTAAGACGTTCTCCATTGATGATAAAATAGACATAATCAGAAAAATTGAAAATGGATGCAATCAAGCTGATATTTGCGAGGAATATAAACTATCCAAATCTGCAGTTTGTAACATATGGAAAAATAGGCACTTGATAATTTCTGCTCATGAAAAAAATTTAGAAGGTAGAAAAAAGTTTAGAAAAGCAGATCACAAGGATGTTGAAGAAGCATTAGTGAAAAAGTTCGCCAATCGAAGAAGCCGCAATCTTCCAGTATCTGGACAAATGTCGATGAATTTGCTAAGTGATTTTACGATACTACTTTTATGTGCTCGAATGGCAGGTTAGACAGGTTTAAAAATCGGAATAACAGAAATTCAGAAAAAATTATCTGAGAGTCGGGAAGTGATTCCATATCTGATGTTGAGGATTGCTCATCAGCTAAAGATTACAAATTTTTTTTGTACGTAAGACGAAGAGTAATGAAAAATAACGCATGTTTTGCTACTATATTATATTTTTCAGTCATTTATTTGAATAATGCGTAATAAAAGGGAGTAGTTTGGGAATAGCCTGCATAACAGATATAGTGAACTCCCAGTTATAGTGAACCAAAATTTTGGTCCCTTGAAGGTTCACTATAGCGGGGTTTGACTGTATATATTTACACGTATTTAGAAAAAAAAAATCAACATTTTCGTTTTTAGCATCTGCTGCTGTATGTGAAATAGCCACTCTCTTTTCTTACCCAACATTTATTACTTGAATTTAATTTACTTTGTTAGTTTATGTTCTGTGTATAATAATTATGCATGGCATTAAATGCTCTATAAACTGACAATACATAAATGCATACATAATTTAGTATTCTATGAGACACGATTTAAGTACCGCTATCTTGAGTGTTGGGCTCAATATTTTGGTGTAGTGCTGAAGTACACTTCAATGATGCATATGGATTGTTAGTTCATCAATAACATTAACCTTTTCCTTATGGATGGTACAACATGTGGACCATATGTGATGGTAAAATATGATACACCTTAAGCAAAAGTTTAAAGATATTAATAAATCATTTTAAGAAAAAGTTGCTTCTAAATTAATGTTAATTGTCACTTTCTGTTATGTTGTATTAATAGTATTTTCTTCTATTTCAGTATCCCATGTATAGTAGAGAATATGTATATATTCGAAGAGCAGTGGTATGTAATTTTTCAATTTTTTGTTAAATTAATTGAAGTTGCCTTTCAATTATTTAAACAGCATTGTAATTTATTTTTGTGAATAAGTAGAATTCTCTTATTTATTCTCAATTAATAGGTATTTGTGTATTGTTCAGCTTACCAGAGTTTGTTAAATGTTATGTGGTATCTAATGCACTTTAAATTGTTTTAAAAACTTATAAACTGTAAAGTAAAATGTTAAATTATATAAATACCTGTTTTTGTTTATTTATATATCTATTTTTATTTTATTTAAAATGCAATCTTTTTCTCTTTCTCTTAACTCATATAATCAATAATAATTTTTTTTAAAAAAATTCTTTTTACAAGGTTAGATCAGTGGNTTATAGTATTAAATCAAAAATTTTCAGTGGCTCTTTAAAAGCGGGAAATTTTGTAAAATTGTAACTTTTGGCTCTTTCATTTCAAAAGGTTGCCGACCCCTGGGTTAGATAGATGTAATATAAAGCAATGTCAATTAAATAGTTTAGTTTGCTGTTAAATATTTGCTTTCCTGATTTGCTAAGAGGTGTGAAACAAAGGGTTGAAACAGCCGTTCATCAGGCAACACTTCAAACTGGTCCAAAACAAGTTTCAGCTCCATGATACCATTTTTCTCAAAATTTTGCCAAAGCTCTAAAAATATTCATTGAGCAAAAAGCACAACTTTAGCCTAATTTTACCTCAAATTTGCATCAATTTCGTTGCTCCAAAACAGCAAGCAATTTTTGTTTTTCACCAAAATGTTGATTACTATGTTGAGTTTAAATTCTCCATTGAATAGAGCTTGCCAGGAAGAAGTTATTATTAAAATAATGAAATTCACTTGTCGAATGATTTCGCTTAACTGTTGTAGCATATAAAATATCTCAAAAATCATAGAGAAATAGCGAAAAATAAGTTAATGGCGCGCCTCTTGAGACATGTATTTCTCAAGTTCGGAAGAAAAAAAATTTTTTGCATTACAACAAATGTATGCTAAAAAAAATTATATCCAAAAATACGAGTTTGAAATTCACTCAGTCTTCGGTCACTTCCCCAAGTACACAAATTTAGGAATTATCATTGTTTCCCTGCCTAATAATACTTTTGCTATACAGGATTACTTATAATACATTTTGCAATACAGGATTGCTTGTACTATTTTACTCTACTGGATTACTTATACACTATTTTGCTGAACAGAATTACTTATAATATATTATTTTTCTCTACAGGTTTACTTATAATACACTATTTTGTTTCTTTTCTATTTTTAAATAAAGATACTGAGTTTTATGGTATTAAGGCTATCTAATAATACAATTTTGCTATGTCAAAAATGATGCAGGTTAAAAGGCCATTTTCTACGTGCCGGACCATTAGAGTATTGAAAGTTTTTTTTAAAGAAGTTTATGAAAGAACAATTACTTAATTTTTTATTGTTTATGTTTTCTAGGTAAGCTCTGATACAAATACAATGGTTCTAGTCTCAAGAGCAACTGAACATCCTTCCTGTCCTGTAAATAACAAATACGTTAGAGTCACTAAATATAGTTCTAGGATGGTTATTAGACCTCATCGGACATATGATGAAGTAAGAAACGTTTAATTATGATGAAACTTTTAATGTGTATTGTAAGTTTCATGTTTTATCATTTAAAAATCAATTCGAATTTAGTGGCCTTGTTTAGAACCATGCATGCTTAATGTATAATAGTACATTTTCTTAATGATTTAATATTAAAAATAGCTGTAATTAACGATTATTACTTGAAAATTAAACGAGTGGATTAGTTGTAGTAAGATTAACTGCAACTGAACTCATTGAAAATTAATTGACAGGGAATGAAATAATTTACTTGTTAAATTACGGAACTTGTTAAAGCTTTACAAAATTTTTAACTTGCTATCTTATTTTTAAAAATTTTTTTTAACACTAATGGTGCAAAATATGCCTTTACTGCTATCATTTGATAAAAAATGCAATAAAAAATAATTATGCAACACGGAAAATCATAAACAGATTGGATGCATGATTCACAAAATTGTTTTGGGAATTGTTTTTGACAGCTCGTGGTTTCTCCAATTAAAATATTTGTAAAAAGCAGCAAGAAGATTTAATAGTTTGCATATTGGCATCTTGCCACCTCTAGAATTTGCAAGGTCCATTAAATATCTTGCTGCAGAGCGTTTAGGATTCCATTATATTTCTGTCTATATTTCAGGGNTTTCTCTTAATTAAAATTATTTTACCATCCATTACATCCACGCTTATTTAGACGTAAATTTATCGTAAAAAAGTTGAAATATCATCAACTCAGTAATACTTTTCTTGCATTAAAATTCTCTTCATTAAAATTCCTGCGAAACTGGAATACCATTGCAAACTCTTTTGTGTTGGGAAATGAATGGAGAAATCTTTTTCCTCTTTGGAGATTATGGGACTATGCAGTTTAAGAAAGGCAAAAATGTGGAAGAAAGGATTAGGATATTTGCTTCTGTTTATAAAAGTAAAGTTTTTGTTTTATTTTAAGTCTTCTTTTATTTTGTGGGGCTGAATTCATTAATTATTGAAGTTTGTTCCGCTGCTTGGCTTGGGGGGTATTTTTTTTTTAAACAAAATTATTCAAAATGTTTTAGTATTTTTAACTTTATAAAATTCTCAAGAAAATAATTGGTTATAATTTAGAGATTTTATCTTGCACTCTTTTTCTGAAAGCTTTTGTCCAATGAATTATTTTTCGCTGCAAAGTTTTGTTTTGTAAGATAGTTTTTCTAAGAAATTAATGTTCATTTTTTTCCAACACCATGGAATTGCCCAGGTGTAAAAACGAAACCAATTGACTTATCTAAACTAGGAAACCATGTTAGATTGGAATTCTTTATACATTCTAATTTCCATTAAGAAACGGGAAAAGAAAAGAATAAAAGTTAAAGAATTGTATCTAGTTTTTTTCTCTTTAGAATATGCAACAAGAAATGGACAATTTTTCGTTTACAAATACTGAATATGACTTAAAATAATAGTGCTAATTTAAAACAAATTACATTATTTAAACATTTGACTTATGATATTGGTTTGAAGAAAATTATTTCAATGAACTTTATAAAGAGCACTGTTTGTATAAAATGCAGTATAAAATGGCTCTATATTGAAATATGAATAAATATAAGAATTATTTTCTTTTGCTTAATAGAAATATATTAAACAGTACTTATCCAAGGTTGTTTTGGGTCATTACTATTTGGTACATTTTGTGCAAAAACTATTTAACACTTTAAAAAAATTTTATTAATTAAAAGCGTTATTTTCTGCAAGCTAAACATATTGTTTCCTCCGCATCTATTCAAGATGATATATTAAAAAAATAACATTTTAAATGAAATATTGCACTATATTGACTAATACACTAATATTGACACTTTTCGTGTACCTATACTACACTTTAGCAGGGGGAAAAAAACACGCTGTCCTGGAAATTTTAAGAATTTTACTGGAAAAATCGGGGAAATTTGAAACCTAATTTGAGTGGCCACCCTAATTATAGTAAATGTTTGTTTTTCCTTTTCGAATTTCATTCTTAAAAATGAACAACTTAAAATGTTTTTGATAAATTTTTTTTTTAAAAAAATATCATTTTTATATTCATACTTAAGTTTAATTTTCATCAAGGATATATCAGACATGGGAATCTTAGTGAGGTACTGTGTATTTTTAATCCAATTGTTGAAGCAATCACATAAAAAATGTTAATGTATATCAATTTTTAACTCTGTTAGTAATTTCTACAGATTATTTTCTTATGTGGGCCTTTAGAATTGTGAAAATCATTGCCTTTTGTAGTTAGGACTATGTTTTAATCTAATATGATTGAAACAGGGATTTTGGATTTTCAATAATAATGTTGGATGTATGACGTTTTTTAAAGATAATTTTTTTTTAATATCTCTGGTGGTGTGGTCGTCTAGTAAATACCTCTCTTGCCCTGCCCTTATGACAGCTGTTTTTTTCCGGCACACCTATGTGCAGAAGAAGTATAGATTAATAAGATGGATTCTTATTCATCAATCATTTTGCTAGCCTTTATATGAATGAATAAGATGAAAAGATGGATGAATAAGATTGATAAAAGTAAGATGAAGGATATTGAATTATTTGTTTTCATTGCTTATCTATATACAACTTTAAGACTTAAATTGACTTTTTTTCAAACAAAGGGAATGAAATTTCTATGAAAGATCATATAATTAGAAAACTTCTTTTTGGTGTGACAGTCTTAAGGATAAAGTTTAATTTAAGATTTTTGCTTATTTAACGTTTTTAAGAATAACATTGAAAAATTCTTTATTACCATGCCAGTATCCTTGCTTAGGACTCCTAATCAACAAGTTTCACTCTTTATTTAGTTGTTATTTTTTTATTGTTAGTTAATACTGTTAAATCTGTTTCAATCTTTTTTTTTCTTTTTCAGAATGGTTTTGATTATGTACTTACTTATTTTGATGATCCTCAAGCAGCTTTTCCAGCACCTGCCTATAACTGGATGGCTTCTTCAGGTAATTGCAGTACAAAATCCCATTTCCAGACGTCCATTTCCTGGAAGGGTGTTTTTTTCTACTTCTGTGTGATTTTCGCCGGACTTCTGATTTTGGATTGATTTTAATCTGATTTCTGCTGTAACATGAAGAAAAAAAAATTGGAAATCACGTAAATGAAATCCTGTGTTTCGCTGCAGTGCTAAAGAAAACGCCTATTTTTTTCGAAATAGAACATTTTTGAGCACTCTAAAATTGAAAGCATGATTCTTGACTTTAATAATCCTTTTATGTGAGACGTGAGGAAAAAAAACGCCTATTTTTTCCCTCATGTCTCGCATAAAAGGATTATTAAAGTCAAGAATCATACTTTCAATTTTAGAGTGATCAAAAATGTTCTCATTTTGAAGAAATTGCATACTTGAGGGCATGAAATGAGGTCAGGAATTGTCATGACTAAAACGGCTCATAATGTAATTATTTAAAAAAGCGATTCAAAATTTGTGAATCATAATAACACTGCCCATCTATTTGTTTATGCTTTGGACTTAAAAACATTTTCCAACATATAGCAGGTATGTAATTCTTCTACAAATTGATAATTTATACAAAATTTTGTTTACTATATCTGCAAAATTGTTTGCTAATTTAATGGTAAAATTTTGTTGGTTACGCAAAATCTCGTAAATAAGACATTTATTTTACCCTTAGCAGCATTCTCTCTTTTTCGTCCATGCTCAATAACAACTTTTTTTACTCAGATTTGTTAGAGAAAAATGCTACAAACATTTAAAAGATAGTTCGTTAGAAAAAAGGATGTTTACTTCTTATTTTTTTTAAACATTTTTAATATTTTAATGAGTAGCAAGCAACTTAGTTGCGAAATCTGATTTGTAACAGAATTATTTAATAAATGTAATATATTTGCCCGTTTTTTTATTTGGTTTAAATTATATTGAATTAATTTTTAATATGATATTACGATATGGAAATTTCGAATCGTCAATTTCAGTCATTCTTTTTCAACATGCTCGATGCCATCGTAATTCACATAATTTTTATAAAACCCTGATATTATTATGTTACACGAAATTCAAATCACGTGCCTGAGTATTCACTATTTGATGCTATAATTCTACCAATTTTTTTCCAATAAATATTTGCAGTTATGACTACACATTTTGGAGTATTTTTTAAAATCTTAATAATTTTAATAATATATTAAAAATATTAAGATTTTAAAAATATTAATATTTTATTGTAACTATTTATTAACTTACTTGAATATCAGTAATTAAACCAAAGATTTATTGTATTGATATTTTTTTTAAATATTATACAGTACTTTTGTGGCAAAATTACACCATGTTCTATGGAAAAATTACATTATGTATAATTACATAAAAGTATTTATAAAGTTAGAAACAGAAATCAAGCAGAAAACGAAGGATATTTAAAGATATGTATGTTAGCAAAACAGCACTTCATAAGGGAGACACACTGTCTGCTAACATACAGGAGCCTTTCTGTCGTCAGTAGTTATACCAAAAACTGACTGTGCCCTGAGGCTCCATAATGAATTAACTAAGCAAGAAAAAGCAATTAAAAAATCTTAAATTGAAATGTAAATGCACAGAAAAATTTATAACATACAAACAAAATTCGAAAGTACAGAGAATAAGACTTAATAATGAAACACCCACATATAAGAAAAATAAAGATAAAGTTACAGTTGGAATAACTAAATCAAAATAAAATATTAATTGCCAAATCTTTAAGAAAATCTTTAGAAATATATCGAGTGCTGACCCCTTTCAAAAGTCTTGAAAAATAAAGCAAAAACATTCAATGAGTAAAAATTCCAAGAAAGTGCTACCATTTATGCTTCAGGAGCAAAAAATCCTAAATTGCACTAAATAGGCCTATTTATGCGGGCTTCAATATCGGCCAAACTATTTGAATGTCTTTAAAATACTTTGAATTAAATACCTTTAAATCAGTTTCATTCTTTTTTAGAATACTTTTAAATCAGTTTCATTCTTTGTTAAAATACTTTTAAATCAGTTTCATTCTTTGATTGCATAGAAGTATTTTAATAGATGTTTTTCATTTTAATGTTTTACCCTGTTTTCCTGAAACTATGTTCATAACATTTATTTTATTATCATTTTTTTAAGGTGTTCCTGACTTCGTAGAGAAATTACACAATGCTGCTCGAGATCTTCATATGTACCAGCGAAGAAATAATTCTAGTCTGCAGTCATCACAATCAAATAAAAGTTGTTGCACAAGCAATCTGGAATACGTGTACATGTAATAGTAGCCAGGAGATGTTGTTAAAACTACATAGACTACTAACTAAGAAATAATATTTCAAAGATTTTAATAGATTTTTAATTTATTTATCAATTTTTCTTGTTATTTTTATAAATATACACTAATAAAATTTGAATGTAGCATTGCTTATAGGAAATCAACTATTAGAACATATTGTTAAAAATAGCTTATCTGTAGAAAAATAGGATTTAATCTTTTTATCATTCTGTTTAACAGAATGCATTTATAGATGTAAAAATTTGTTTAAAATGTATTTAGCGATCATTCGAAACATATTACCTAAAAGTTGATCGGTGATGTTATTCAAGCCATACTTATTAAATACAGAGATCCACTCATTAAATGCAGATCGTTGTTGCCCTGGTAATTCCAGATAGCCCTTTTTTAACAGTAAAAATGATGAAAAAGCCGCCTCCTAATTTGCCTGCTGTTGAGAAAATTTTAATATATATGTATATACGGTGAAATTTCCAGGAAAGACCACCACGGTGTAGCGACCTCATCAATTTACGACTACTTGTGGGAAGCACATAATTTTTTCCATAGACTTTTTTTTATTGAAGAAGACCTTTAGGAGAGACCATCTGAACTTCTCTCAGCGACCGGACAAACCTCTGCACCAAATGCGGAAAAGGTCAAATAAGGAAACACGAAAAATATCAAAGTAAAAAGTATTAACGAAACAAATTAGATTAAAATGTGTTCAAAATATTTTTGAGAGCTCTTTTTGACGATCTTTGAAAGAGATGTTCTGGTTTGTTTCAATAACCTCTGCTTTTGGGGTAAAACTGGGTACTACCATGTTCTCTTTCCCTTAAGTCTCTGTTGTCTATGCAAGCCTCACAAGAACTGCAGTGCAGCAGAAGAAAAATATAATTACATGCAAGGCTGAACAAATGTTTTACGAGCCCTATCCTCTAAGCTCAAAAGACTTAATTTTCATATTCTGTAGAATGTTTGATGACCCTTCATACAAAATTGTAGTTTTTTATATAGATATAAAAAATTCTCATTCATTTTCTTTTGGAGAAAAAAAAATTAAGACTGTATTTTTTGTAAAGAGCTTTGGTTGGTGCCTTAGCCATCTCAGGACAATTGCCCCTCTCTTTTCCCCGTCCCGCCCTTGAGTGCAGCCTGGACTACACCTCATGTTAACTACATGCATATTTTTTTTTTTTAAATTTTTGTATAAAATAGAAATGTCTGCTACTTTTTCACTGAAATTCTAGTATTCCTAAATTCTACATAGAGTTAACATGTGTACACAGTTTTACCCCTCTAGTGGATGTTTTGACTTTTTCTTTAAAAGAATCCTTTATAAGAAAAGGAATACATCTATGACTTTTTTAAGAATGATGTATTGTATGCTACTGAACAATGAAAATCTTGCTTAAATCAGACAATTTCTAAGCTGAACAGTCTAGCTCTAACAGGCCCTCAAATTTTTGCTACCTGCTTTAACCCATCTTCCCCTATGTATGTATGTATATATATATATATATATATATATTAGAAATTGATAGCTAATGTAAGCAAATCAGAATTTTTCAAATATTAGTATAAATTTTTATTTTATTTTGAAGCACGTTTTTGATTTATCAAGACAAAAGTAAATCTCCTGTAAATTGATGCACAGGTCGGCAGTTCTCAAAAGCTGAAAGCATTTCACAAATTATTAAGCTGTGACAATAATTAAGTTTAGAGGAAAAACAATGCCAAAAGTTTTTTTTTTTTTGACATGACGGTTAAAACCAGATAAAACCATCGATTGTCAAAAACTTTCCATCCCTCCCTAATTATATTTTTTTAAAGGGCTTAAAAATATTATTTGAATTCTTGAAAAGTGCTTAAAAGGTGCTTATTTTTTGTTGAATAATTTGGCTACGCACCCTGAATAAGTACCTTTAAAAATATTTTGTTCAATTAAAAGTAGGATTTTGGAGAATATTTATATTAACTGAGCCAATATAATACAGGAATTTTTTTTTATTGTGTCTAGATTAAAATAAGAGTATAACATTTCAATGGGCTGGTTACATAATAGTAATCTTAAAAAAAGGCAACAATAGATACTGTTATATAACTGTTTGGTAACTATTCAAAAAAATTAATTTCGTGTTTCGATGCATGTCCAAAAAAGTAATATATTTTAACAAAAAATAAATTAAGGTAAATGCTTTAAATTAATTTATCCTTCCCGAAAATTAGTTTTTCAAATATTTAACTATTTTCTTCCATTTTTATGAAATATTTTTGTAAATAAATGCCATTTTCTTACACAGAAAATATAAGATTATTTAAAATATGCAACGTACTTAACGCTAGGAAGACTTAAACTTAGTTATATACCTATATTGCCCAAAAGCAGTCAAAATGACTGGATTGTAAAAGAATAAATAATGAGTTATGAAATTCGTTTAAAATTAATTTTTAATATTCTTTATAATATTTACAGTTATATAACAAGTTATTAGTAAATGTTAATAATAAAAAATTTCATGTTGTACATTATTGTTTTTCTAATTGAAATTAAAAGCCGTCAAAATGACTTCCTTAGGCAATCTAGTGTTAATGCAGATAGTTTTGCTCATTATTTTAGGTAATTTGATGTTAAAAAATTCAATTTAAAAGTTATTATAATTAATTTTAATTAAATAGAGAATGTATCACATAAGTAGTGAATATTTAGAATTAATAGAAATCAAAATTAGCTGTTAAGGTTATTGTCCCACCTTTTGAGAAGTGGCCATATATAAAAGTTATGTCTTAATTATGTTTAATTCTTGGAAATATTTAACATTTTAATACAGAAAGTTTTGCTCCCTCCCTTTCGGAAAATTTTTTTTTAATTATAGCAATTTTTGATTGACTTGAGTGCCATCACCGAGCAAGATATTATGAATTTTTATGTTGTTATTTTTCATCTTCAATTTTATTTCAGAGTTTTGTACTTTCCTGTTGAAATAAATTTGTTTTACTTAACTATTACCTGTTGTTTATTTTTTTCCAATGGAGTGGTGTTTGCTATTTCATTAAATACTAAAATAAAACCTGCTGCAGAAACTTGAGACGTTTTCTGCTATGTACTTTTTTTTCTTATTCCGGAAGTATAACTTCTTAGATCACTCAGGGTGCGTAGCGTTTTTTAAAGGTGCTTATTTTCGTTTTTTAAAAGCCCTTAAAAGTGATTTTTTCATTGAGTGTTTTTAAAAAGTGCTTAATTTTCCCTTTTTCAAAATGAGATTTTTCCTTTACTATGTTGGTTTTCGCTTCGAATTATGCAAAAAGACGCAGGTCACATTGTTATTCTGTTCAACGTTTTCACAATTAATTCAACCCCAATCTATTCCGGCGTATTGTCAGTCCGTAGCGTATAAAAACGCCATTCGTTATACATGATTCAAAATTTCGTGATTTTTGACAATCGTCAAAAACAATGCCAAAAGGTTTTTTTTTGGCATGACGGTTAAAACAAGATAAAACCGTCAGTTGTCAAAATCTTTCCAATCCCGCCAAGTTATGATATTTTTAAAGTGCTCAAAAATATTTTTTGAGTGCTTAAAAGGTGCTTATTTTTAGTTGAATAATTTGGCTACGCACCCTGTCACTTTATCTTTGCTTTGCCACTCGTAACAAAAATTACAAGAATTTCTGACAGTAAGCAAAGAAATTTCAGCATATTTTTTTATCATTTTTAATAGAATTATCTTATTTCTTTTGTATTAGCTTATGTGCTATTAGGTCTAATGGGAGCTTCAACATTGTGCAAAATAATGTATCTTTTAAACTTATTTTTTTAATACCTAATACAGAGTGCTCATAATTAATATTGCACTCTCGAAGAGCCGGCAAAAAAAGGGGAGGGGGAGGAAACATTGGTTACATTAATCCTAATACTTCATCGGAGTATATGTCGAGTTTTTTTAGCGAAAGGGAGAAAAATAGTTAATTGTTCATAAATTGTCTGATAAATGATGTTGCTCTCGTCATAAATTGCTAGTTTTAAGAAGTGACATGTTGGAGCTCTTTCTTTTTTTTAAAAAAAAAAAACATTCTCAAAGACAAGATGGAACATCAGTGAATTTAAAAAATCGACTTTAATTGTTCCAATTCCTAGACGAAAACTCTAGAAAAACCAAAAGCTTGAGGAAACAAAGTAAAAGAGGTCCGCTGCGACTTGCTTAAATCAAAATCAGCAATCTTGCAAAGTGCCCACCAAATCTTCCCGTCATTTTTTTCATACTAGTTAGAAACTCATAACAGCATCCACAACAATTAAACATCAATGTTAAGAATACTGGACAAATACAGTTTTATGGTATAAAAAATTGTTTTGGGTATTCAACTTTACATTTTGTTTTGATAAAAGTATAAGATTTAAAAACTTGAATCTATACGAATGCGTTAGAAAAATTTACAGGTGCAATAGAATAGAAAAGTTTAAACATTCGACTATTAGTTCGAGAATTGTTAACTGTTGAACAAAAAATACTATGTAAGCCACTCTGCAAGCTGTAGAAGTAAAACCACTGTGTTAAAATTTGATGTGCTGAAAGAACCATTAATGAACTAAACTGGAGTTTGTTTGTTTTTTTCAAAATTCTAATTTGATTAAAGGTACTTGTAACTATAATTTTTTTCATAACTTTTTAAGATGTTTTTTGTGCTTTAATTAATGACTATTTATTTATTGTTGTCAAAAATTTATCTCTCTTGAGATCATTTTATAAGCTTGCACTTGACTTTACGTCAAGAATAACAACAAAAAAAAGATTAAATAAAATTTTAAAAAAATGAGAGATTAGATGCTGCCTGATTGCCCTGAATTAGACAGGCCGACTCATCATCTATTTTCGCTCCAAAGAGCTAACATAAGCACAATACTAACATAACGTTAACTTGTGAACTTTTTTGCTCCAATATTGCTTGATAGAGCAGCTCTGATAGTACAGGAGCCTTAATATATCGGGACCTTAACATTTATGTATCGAAATTTTAAAAAAATATAAGAAGTCGAGAGAGAAAAACTGTTTCCAATTTGAACTGCTATGTAATATAAGGTTATGGTTAGCAAATAAAATTACTTCTATTTTATTGTGTTGTGCAGTGCGCAAAATAAGAAAAGCAACACCCTGAATAACTTTTAATCTAATGATTGGATCTTCACGTTCTAGGACTCAATCTTGATGGTTTGAGAGAGTGACCTCAAATATGCCAAGTAATTAGGCACAAGAACGCATTTTCTCCCGAATAAACATGCCTTTTTTTCGACAGATTTTGGTTTCTGACTCCAAAAATATAGGGGGTAGCCGCAATAGTTCGAACCCCATAATGTAAATTTTATTTTTTGTTTCACCATATCTCGAGTACTTTTAAAGCGAATTGAAAAATTTTTGCACAAAATTATTAAGTTCATTTGTCCAAAGATAATTCCATGGAGAATATGACGTTTAGTAAATTTGTATTTTTTCATTTAATAAAGGTTAAAAAAAATTGAATTGTAAGGTATAAAATTTTTACATAATCTTAAAGGATGTAAAATACGAAATTGGTAGAATATTTTCTGAGAAATCGAATTTTAAAAATACAGCTTCTTTTAAAATTTGATTTCTCAGGAACTATTCGACCGATTTCACAATTTTTTTTTATTTTGCCCTATAAAATTACATTTGTTAAAAATATGTCAATAACTGTATACTTTGCAATTCAAAATTTTTTGCACCATTGTTAAATAACGAAATTATAAATATTTTTAATTAAGTCATATTTCCATGAAACTATCTTCAGATAAACGAACTTCATAATTGTGTGCAAAAATTTGAACTAAGGGGACCATATTTTCCAGATTCGGGATTCAGAAATTAGAATCCGTCGAAAAAAGGTATGTTTATTCAGAAAAAGTACGCTTATGTGTCTAATTTAGCAACGTAAAACACCGTCTGTTAAAATTAATTAGCGTATTTGAGGTCATCCCCGAGTCATTAATATTGAATCTTAGAACGTGAAGATCTGATCATTGGATCAAAAGTTATTCAGGTTGGTCAGTTTTTTTATTTTACGCACTGTACAACCGTATTCATAAGTTTAAATATTTACAACTGATTTTTTTTATTAAATCCATGTAACTGTTTATACGTTACGATAAATAAAATGTTCTTTTTATAGTTATATATTATCTAAACTTAAATATTGTTCTTTAAAAAAAAGAAAGAAAGAAAGATTAACTTTAAAGAAAATGATGATGTTGGTGGGCCTGCATGTGCAATAAAATATCAATAATAAACTGAGTACCATTCTTGTTAATTAGTGCATTAGTTCTACTATGAATTTTCACTTTATGCAAGGTAATTTGCCTTAATATATCAAAATTATATCAAAATTACTTCATTTAAATTTCTAAAGATGTGTTTATGAGTGCTTAAAAAAGTGAATGTGGTAACAAGAAATTTTAGTACAACTAAAATTGTGATATAGAAAACAAGTGATTAAATGTAACTGAATAACTGATAATATGTGATTACATAATGTTGTGTAACATTCCTTGCTTTAACAAATCCATTCTAAGACCTGAACCGCACAAATAAATAAAATTGAGAAAAAAAAGAGTTAAGTATGTCTTATCAATTATTTTTTAAAGTAAAAATGAGAAGCCATTGTCTTTAAGAACTTGACATGATAAAAACTAGATAAAAAAAATTCTCGGAGATAAAACTCCGACTAAATAAGCTTCTATTCCAGGAAAAAATATGAAATTCGATTTTTTAATTTAAGT